GAAATGTAAAAGTACTTGTTCTAGGTTTTTTGTTTCTTTAATGATTCAGAAGAAACCTTTGGAATTTCCTCCATCCTTCTTATAAAGGTATAAAAACCTCTAACATGGTTGAATATTTATTAAAATAGTTTAATAATCTATTTCTCATTTAAATTAACACAATATCACAATGCTGAGTGAAAAAGCAAGTTTTACAAAATATATACAATATATAGTTATGAAAAATATTTATGGAACCATTCATATGTAGACAAAATTTTAAATGTGCATAGGAATGAAATCCTTCAGGATAAGGATTACTTTTCAGGAGGTGAGAGAAGGAAAGGTAGTGTTTGAAGCAGAAAGGTAGTGTTTGGGGATCCCTGGGTGGCGCAGCGGTTTGGCGCCTCCATGTGGCCCAGGGCGTGATCCTGGAGACTCGGGATCGAATCCCATATCGGGCTCCCGGTGCGTGGAGCCTGCTTCTCCCTCTGCCTGTGTCTCTGCCTCTCTCTCTCTCTCTGTGACTATCATAAAATTAAAAAAAAAGAAAGGTAGTGTTTGAAATCAAAGAGTATGGTGAGCGCATGATTCATTTATTATTTTCTTTGTGAAATGCTACATATTTAATTTAATTTAATTTTAGAATATATATACTAACAATATATATAGAACCAATTTACTTTTTTTAGTCAAACTGGCAAAAACTGGTCAAGGAAGCATTTAATGACAGAGACTAAGTCAATAATAATTGTTCACATACCAAATACCCATGTTTTGATATTACTTTCAGAAATAGTACACAATTTAAAATGATGTTTGAATACGTGTATCCAGGAAAAGAAAGCAAGCCAAAATTCTATTTAACGTAGACCTCCTCCTGAAAATCAAGGAAATTCATAGACACAAGGCAAGATTTCTGAGGGAATTTATAGCTGTGGTATTCTTTAATTAAATGACAGGTTTGGAAGTGTTTCTAATTTACCTTATTAGTAATAGGATAAAGAGGAGTATTTCATGTTCTATATATTAAATAGGAAAATAGCATATATATTATATAACACCTATCACATTATGGGGACTTATTTAAACTACAATCAACATTTTACATCTCTATCTAGACCTCTGTCAACTTTGATGCTTGAAAAAAATTGCGATTATTTGTGTGTGTGTATGTATATGTATCATATTTATGCATATATGTCCGTATGTATGTGTATGTATATATATAGCATGTTGACATGTACATACATATATCTATGTAATATTGTCTTACTTTGTGGTTGGGTGTAATAAAACACATGCCTGCCTATTGAGCATTTATTGTGCATAAAGGAGAGTTAAAATTTTTTTTCTCTTACTCTCTCAGCTTATTAGAAACCAATATATGGATTTTCTGAATTCTAGGAAAGGTAGATCCACAAATCTAATTCAAAGCACTCTTCTCAGAAAGGGAGACAGAACATGAGAGACCCCTAACTCTGGGCAACGAATTAGGGGTGGTTGAGGGGGAGGTGGCCTGGGGGTGGGGGTGGCTGGGTGACGGGCACTGAGGTGGGCACTTGATGGGATGAGCACTGAGTGTTATTCTATATGTTGGCAAATTGAACACCAATAAAAAATTAATTTATAAAAAACAAAAACAAAGCAAAACAAAAAACCAAAGCACTCTTCTCCATTACTGCTTCTTGCCCCAAAGACAACTTGGTGGGATCAAACCCATTTGGGCCACCCTGGGATTAGACTTTTCATGTCTATACATAAACTTTTATATATTAATTGAATTGTATGCTGAAATACTTCTGTCTTTATTTACAAACAAAATAAAGAGAAAATACATAAACTCACAGATTAGAACATTTCTCCAAATCTAGGAGTATGGAAAGCACATAACAGTTCCATTTAAATGCCACATTGCTATTCATAAATTGAAATTGAATTCTAAAAAAATAGAGAAAAAAATTGGCAAAATACTTTAAATGAGTTCACTGGATCTGATCCACTGGCAAAATGTTTCAGATCCACTGAAGCATTTAAAGTACTTCACCAGTATGTAGTTATCCTAAGACAATACTTGATCTTTATAATCTGTAGTTATTGAGGGGTCTAGCTTGCCATTTATTTTCCCCCTCAATTGTAGAATAAATGTTCAGATAAAAAATTTAATTTCTCATTGTTTTTAATAATAAAGTATGGTAATACACTAATTTCACATGAAGCATTTGTTTTATTTTAACTTCCTTTTATGTGAATTTTAGAAACTGAGTTATAAATTAATTAGAATCCTTCTATTAATAAATCCTACTAAGAAAAAAATGGGAATCCAACTAGAAACTTGGCTTGGTTTTCTCATTCAAACTTATGTTGTATATTCATATTCATTTTAATTTTTAGGAAATTTAACTTAACAACTTAATTCCATCATTAATATTTTATTAAGTGCCGTATCACAAGAATCCTTTCCTTATCCTATCCTAAGGAAATTAAATTAATCTAATTCCACAGCAAATTAAATCATGCCATTTAACAAGAGAAAAAGACTATATGGATTATTCCTTTGAATTTCAACACTCTTTACAGTGAGAGCCAGATTTTAACTAAATTTTAATAAACTTGATAAATAAGACATACTTCAAATATTAGAGTAACTTAAAAATACATGATCTATCAAATGGCAGAAATATCTTGCCCTAAAAAACCACCTAAAAAGAGGGCTGGTCCAATCCAGCTACTAGTTGTTGGCTATAATATAAATTGTATAATTTATTTATTTATTTTTACATTTTCAAACTCGTTGATTATCTCACATCTCCATTTATTTATTTGTTTGTTTATTTATTTATTTATGTTAGATTTATTTATTTATTTATTCATGAAAAACACAGAGAGAGACAGAGACATAGGCAGGGGGAGAAGCAGGCTCCTCGCAGGGAGCCCAATGCAGGACTTGACCCCCGGATCACTACTGAGCCAGACAGTCACTCAATCACTGAGCCACCCAGGTGTCCCTCCATTTTTTTAAATTAAACAATTCATAAAATTTAATTGAGATATAATTTACATATAACATTTTATAAGTTAAAGGTATACACTTTTTATTTGATACATTTATATATTGCAATATGATTACCACTATAGCATTAGTTACCACCTCTATAGCATCATGTAATTATCATTTCTTTTTTGTGATGAGTACAAGTAAGATCTAGTCTCTTAGCAACTTTGAAGTTTATAATACAATATTGTTGACTATAATCTCTATGCTGTGCATTAAGTCTTCAGGATAAATTATATAATTTATATTTATATCTCATTAAATCACAATTTTAGAGCCAACACAGTTTTTTAAATGTAGCTATATATACACAATCTTAAATATCTTCGGTCTATTCTCTCTTAAGGTAGATTGAAAAGATAGAGGCAAACTTGCAATAACATGGATGGATCTAGAGGGTATTATGCTAAGTAAAATATCAGACAGAGAAAGACAAATATCATCTGATTTTTCCATATGTGGAATCTAAAATACCAATAAATAAGCAAATAAAAAGCAAAAGCAGACCCATAAAAACAGAGAATAAATTGATGGCTGCCAGAGGGGAGATGGTGGAAGGATGGGCACAAATGAGTGAAGGGGAGTAGAAGATACATGGGAATAAAAGATACAGCATAGGGAATATAGTCAATAATATTGTAGTAGCATTGTATGAGGACAGATGGTAGCTACATTTGTGGTAAGCATAATGTGACAGTGTATGTCAACTATACTTCAATAAAAAATAAATTAATTTTTTAAAAATAGAGGCAAATGGGCAGCCCCGGTGGCTCAGCGGTTGAGCATCTGCCTTCGGCTCAGGGCGTGATCCTGGAGACCCGGAATCAAGTCCCGCATTGGGCTCCCTGCATGAAGCCTGCTTCTCCCTCTGCCTGTGTCTCTGCCTCTCTCTCTCTCTCTCTCTCTCTCTCTCTCTGTCGTGAATATATAAATAAAATCTTTGAAAAAAAATAAATAAAAAATAAAAATAGAGGCAAACTACAAAACAACCTTCTAAAGGCAAATAAGAATACTATTTATCCTTCATATAAGTTTAAGATTTCAAAGAAGAGGTCTAGTCAGCCTTTCTTTATTCTTAAAGAGTGGAGTTTAAAAGCACAGTATAAAAGATGTATATATATATATATATATATATATATATATATATATACTCATTAGTATAAAAACATTTGAAGCTCTTATTGTAATACAGATTTAAGAACTAGAGTTATCAATTTCTCTGATTTACTTTGTTCACATTGGTGATTTTCTTATAATTTTTAGCAATGTTAAGAAGTAAATTTAAAATGTTTGCATCCACAAATAAGAGTGCCCAAGAAGCGAGCAATAAGCCACCAGCATTCCATTAACAGCACCGGTAGGAGAGTGAGGTATTCTGAGCCATGAAATTGTTTAAGACAAAACTATTTTGTTTTGTTTAGTTTAGAGAAAGAAAAGGGGTTCGAAAACCACTGTTTCCCTTTTAATTATAATTTTAAATGCATACGTTTTCTTTTAATGTTTTCAAATGGACTTAAAATACGCATGCAAAACAATGTTAAGTTTTTAAAATAGAAAACAAAAAATGCTGAAAAATTCCAAAATACTCCAATTTTTCTAACTTAAAAATATATTGTTAATAATATAATTAGGTAATATTAGGTAATATAAAATAAAAATATAAATTAGGTAATATAAATTTAATCTATCTAAATGCAAATTTCTGGTAGGTATTCATTAAATTTTAGAGAAGCTTAAATAGACTTTATGAATATTAAAAGTTTTAATTCATAAAGAACTTAATAAGCTATAATTCTGGCTTATAAAAAATTAAAATTCAGAATTTAATTCTGATTTGTATGTTTATCTTTTTGGAGGATGGATATAGCATCTATTCATGCAATCCTCTAGCAAGCTAAGAAGAAAGGCAAGACATTTCTATGCTTATAAATAAATGTACATAAAATGGCAGTTCACGATTTCATTTCTATGCTATTTCCAAGAGTGGTTTTATTGATTCGTAAACCATACAATTTATGCATACTGAAGGAAGCAACTTTAAGAAATTTGGAGTCATGCCTCTGAAAAACCTCATCACTCCACTGCTTTTATAAATTTGACGAAAGACGCTGATCATATTTAGCTGTGGGCCTCTCATTATGCCTAGAAAATGAAAGGGAAGGAAAAAGCCTAATTAATTTGGTATTTACTATTTTCAAACACTAAGGTAAAACACATGTTAAGACAGAAAAAAATATATATAATTACATAAATTCTTTCACAAGCAGTTTCAAAGGAACATCTGTGGTTCATCATAATTATATAATCAGGGAAACTAATGGAACTATTTGATGCTCATGTCTTTTTAATTTTCTTTCCTTGAGGAAGACATTCTGTCCATTGGTGGTGAAATTTACTTATAATTATTGTGGACATAATTTTTAGAAGTAGCTAGACATATAAAGGTACTTTTATTCAACATCTTATATATTAAGAACAACTCAAATGCTGAAAAAAACTCAAATATGTTTCTCATTCACTATTTCTTTTCTCAGGGAGTGGCTCCACCATTCATGTAGGTGTGGAAACAGGAAAATTGAAAGGCCATCTATAATGTTTCCCTCATCTTACATATCCAAACCATTACCCATCAGTTTTACTCTCTAAATAGCTCTCAAATCTATGCATTTACCTAGAAGTGCACTGCCATGCCTCCTTTCTCCAATCTACCATTATCTCTTGCTTTGCCTTATTTACCATAATCACCTCTTTCATTTTTTTCTCCATACTTTAACCAAAGAGAACTTTTAATAAAGCAACTCTGATTATGTTACTCTTTTACTTCAGTAATTCCCCACTATACTTAAATACAGTATGGTCTAGCCTCTGTTTCCTGCTCCCACCTCACTTGTACCACTTCCTTGTTTTCTGCACTCCAGCCATAGTGGCCACTTTTCAGTTAGTTTCTCAAATGTCCCCAAACTTCCTCCCTCTTAAAGCTAGTTGCACATGCTTTTCCCTTTGCCTGAAAGTCACTCCCCAACCTTTGGCTTTTAACCCCATCTCAGCCTTTAGTTCTCAGTCCAAGCAATACTTTCCCAAGATAGTCTTCCAGAACTGCCTCAGCACTCCCGCCCCATAGTAGTATTTAGAGAACTCCACTTTTCCTTTGTAGTTCTCATCACAGTTTATGTACTTTGTGTCGATATTTAATTAATAACTGTCTTCCCTGCTAGACCATCAATTCCATGAGCAATGTGTTTTTGCTTACTCATATTCCACATGCCTAGCATATTGCATAGTACCTGGCAACATTCTCAAATTCTTTAGCTAGCATTTTTCTCCTTAATCATTATTCTATGTTCCCAAAATTGACATAACTAAGTAAAAAGCAGTAAAGAACTGAAAATGTCTGCTGCTATTTGCTTTAATCTAAACATTTCCTCCCTCCATACTTCCCCACCCAAGATAAAATAATTCCTTTGAAATCTAGATTAAATTATTTTGAAATTTTAGAAAATATTTACTCACCATGGAATTTCTTGGAGAATGTTCTATTACTACATTCATATTTTGGCCTTTTATTTTTTAGTAGATGCTAATAACATTGCTATCAATTTCTATAATTTTGTAAAAGAATATGGAACATACTTATTTTTTCTCTAATGTTGAACCTACACCCCCCATTGGTTTACTCCATCTTTCATATTGTGAAAACTATAAACTACAGAAAGAATAATACAATGAACATTTGTATACTCACCACCTAGTTTCAAATTTTGACATTTTGCTGTACTTATTTTTGTCTCTCTCTATGTATATATAAATGTGTGTGAATGTATGCACTCTGAAAGTAGTTACAAACACCATGAAACTTGCAACCCTAAAAACTTCAACATATTCTAAACACAAAGACATTAATCTACATAACCCAAGTCATAATTATGCCTGAGAAAATTAAAAATAATTCTCTATTTCACCAAGTACCTCCTTATTAAAATTTTCCTAATTGTCCCAAAAATGTCACTTAGAGCGGGGTTTGTTTTTTTCCAAACTAAAATCTAAACAAAATTCACTCATTGCATTGGCTATAGTTCTTCACTTTCCTAATCAAGACTAGTACCAGTCATTCCCCCACAACCACCACTTTTTCTATAACAATGGCTTTTGAATAGCCCAGGCCAGTTGTCTTATAGAATATACTATATTCTAGATTTGTCTGATTCATTCTTAATAGCATCATTTAATGTATCCCTTGATCCCCTGTATTTCTTTTAAGTCCAAAAACATTTCCATATGCGAGTAAAACTTTTTGGGCAAGAGTACTCCATAGTAGATGCTATGCACTTCATATTACATTACATCATGAGGCACATTATGTCAGAGGTTTTTTTATTTTACTGTTGCCAATACTGGTTGCCAAGCTGGTTGACTGGTTACAATAATGACCACCCTTTCTCTCCATTGTAAAGGCATGTTTTCCTCTTTGCAATTAGCAATAACTCTGATAGATGATACTGTGGCATCATGTAAATATACTATTCCCCAAATCCCTTTAACTTAATAGTTTCTACATTAGCTGATGATCCCAGGACTCAGATACTGATTTTGAAACATCACTACCCTAGGCAGTAAAAGGAAATACAGTTGGTTACAGATTTGAGAGCAGGTACAAGTGACCATGGGACATCATTTTTTAAAAAAGAAAAGAAACAGAAGAGCTCAGAAACAAATACGGAGATGTCAAAAGAACAAAAGAGGATTTTCAATTCTAGTTATAACAGAGTAGTTTGTCAGACTCACCCTACAAATAAAATTAGCTATTAAAATAAGAATAAAATACATGAAATCATTGTTTGAGAGTAATCAATGGAAACAAGACTAGGATCCCTGAGAGAAGAAAAGTGTAGAGATAAGCACTACATTTCACTCTGGTTTTGTTTAATTTTTTTTTTAACTTTAGGCCATTTGACAATTTTCAGCATGAAAGAATAGGGTCCAACCAGAAAATAGGAGTGTTACTGAACTGAAGACAAAAGTTGGAACTCAAGGATGCCAATGTGCCAGATACTTGAGCAAAATCTGAAATAGAGGTAATACTAATGAAATGAGTCCAAAAGACTCTCTGCAGTTTTCCATTGAGGTATTGCCAACTCTAACGCTGCACCAAAAGAGATATCACAAAAACAAGCAGAAAAGAGCAGGTGGAAGGCTAAAGATCTAGGGATAGACTTTAGCTGGATCATGAAGGTGAAGTTCAGACACAACAAGGTGAAGTGAGACACCTTGGTAACCACTCTAGACTTTCAGATAAAACCCACAAAAGGTTATGTCTAGCAGCGAGGGCCATACTCTACGAGTAAGTACCTTGGGGAAAGGCCAGAGCTAAAATAAAACATCCCTAACAGATCTAAAACCAACCTTCAATAGATTTAAGTTGGTCTGCCTATACTGTAGCTACCTACAGGAAGAAAGGTTAGCCCTATTTGGAGAAAAATAACATCATCCAGAGTTTACAATTTTTCCCACAAAATGCTCATTATTCAATCTAAAATAATGAGGCATGATAAAAATAAAATAAAAAACAGGATCAAATAACTGAAAACCTAGAGAGAAAAGCAGACAAAAAAATAAGTGTTTGAGAGGGAAAAATCAGAGAGGATGACAAAACATGAGAGACTCCTCTAACTCCGGGAAACAAATAAGGGGTAGTGGAAGGGGAGGTGGGCAAGGGGGTGGGGTGACTGGGTGACAGGCACTGAGGGGAGAACTTGGCAGGATGAGCACTGGGTGTTATACTTTATGTTGGCAAATCGAACTCCAATAAAAAAATATACATTAAGAAAACAAGTATTAATAAATTAAATTTAAAATAATTGTTATTAATATGTTTAAGAAATTAAAGACAAAGATGGAGACTTTCACATGACACCTAGAATCTATTTTCTTAAGAATAAAAATGTAGGGACGCCTAGGTGGCTCAGTCAGTTAAGCATCTCCTTCAACTCAGATCATGATCCTAGGGTCCTGATGATCATCAGGCTCTCTGCTCAGTGAGGAGTCTGCTTCTCCCCCTCTCTCTCCCCCATCCCACCACCTGTGCTCTCTATCTCTCTCTCTCAAATAAATAAATAAATAAATAAATAAATAAATAAATAAATAAAATCTTTTTAAAAAGAATAAAATGTAAAGTCAAACAAAAATATACTAAAGTTAAGACATCAATGTATGGGTTCAACAGCAAATTAGACAAAGCAAAACATAAGATTAGTGAGCTCTAGAAGATTGGTGCAGTAAGAAAGAAACATCCAGATTGAAGCAGGGGGGAGGAGAAAGGAATATAAAATACAGAAAAGAACATAACCAGTAAATAGGACATGAAGAAAAGATCTAACATACATATAACTGGAATGTCAGAAGAGAGAGACAATGGGATAGAGCAAAGTTGAAGAAATTTTGGCTAAGAATTTCCAAAAACTAACAAAAGCCATCACACTACAGATTTTAAAAACAGGAAGACGAAAAGCAGAAAGCAAACCACATTTTAGGCACATCATATTCAAAGTGCTGAAAACCAAAGACAGAAAGAAAAATCTTAAAAAAGCATGGGTATGGGGGGAGACAGTATCTTAAAACAGAAAGAAGGAAAGAAGAAAAGAAAGAAGAAAGAAAGAAATTGGTAAAAATACTAATTTAAGGTTAGTCTGTAATTAACAAAGGATTCACATTGGAATCTCCAAGGTAACAAAAGGAAAAAGAACATATAACTAACAAGCTAATAGATGAGAAATATTGAAATAATGAATATACATAATTCAAAAGGAGACCCAAAAAAAGAGAGAGATAAAAGAAAATGAAAAATGGAAGCAATAAGATGTAGCACTTTAATATATGGTCTCCACTTAAATGCAACTGTAACACTACTTTAAAATATAAATGTCCTAAATGTTAATTAAAAGACAAAATAATCACATGGGATTTTTTTTAAAGATCTAACTATGTGCTTTTCAGAATGGACACACTATATATAAGGACATATAAAGATTGAAAGTAAAAAGATTCTCTAAAAAATTATACCAAGCAAATATTAACCAAAAGAAAGTTACTGTAACTACATTAATATCAGACAAAGTAGACTTTTTAAAGCAAAAACAAATATTACCAGCAATAAAGAGGACACATTTCATAATAAAAATCAGTACTGTTTTAATATACATAATACTATAGCTTCAAATATAGAAAGAAAAATAGACTAAATTAAAAGAGAGTTAAATAAATAAATCCACCATCAGGGTTAGAGATTTAAACACACCTCTGTCAGTAACTAATAGAAAAAAGCAGATTAAAAAAATCAGCAAGGATATAAAACATTTGGTTAACACTTCACTAATTTACTTTATAGAATACATATATAAGACACTAAGTACAACTTCAAAATCCTCTTTCTTTTCAAGTATACAGTGAACATTCACCAAAACTGACCATATCTGGGCCAGTAAGACAGATCTCAATAAATTTCAAAGAATAGAAATCCTATAGAGTATATTCTCTTTTGCAGTGCAATTAGACTACAGGTTCAATATCAGAAAGATCATTGGAAAAATCCCCAAATGTTTGTAAATTAAGCAATATATTTCTAAATAACCAGTGAGTCAGAAAGAAATCACAATAGAAATTTGGATGATATTTTGAAATGAATGATAATGCAAATATTACCAGTTTATGGAATATAAGTAAAGCAGTACTTAGAGAAATATTCAGAAATTGGAATTGGTATATCAAAAAAGAAAAATATTTTAAATCAATTATATTAAACAGGAGTCAGCAAACTTTTGCTGTAATAGGCCGGATAGTAAATATTTTAAGCTTTGTGGGCCACATGGTCTCTAGCAACTACTCAAGTCTACCATTGCAGCATGAAAATAGCTGTAGATAGTACATAAATAAATAGCCTGTGTTCCAATTACATGTTACTTACACACGTGGGTGGTGGGTAAGATTTGGCCTGTGAGGCATAGTTTGGCAACCCCAGATCTTAAACTTTGAACCTAAGAAACTAAACAAAAAAACAAGCAAAAAAAGAGGGTAAAAATAACAAAAATAAGAACATAAAGCAATGAAACAGAACACGAATGTACAATATAGGAAAATCAACAAAACCAAAAGATGAATAAAAACGATAAACCCCAAATAAACTGATTAAGAAAAACAAAAATAACAAATTGCTAATATCAGAAAATAAAAAGGGGACTTCACTGTAAAACCTACAGTCATTATTAAAGGCATATTAAAAGGACACTATTAATGATGTTATGCTATTAGGCTTAAACAATTTAGATGAAATGGATAGATTCTTTAAAAAGCACAATACCTCAAAATTGATGGAATAATAGGAAACCTGAACAATCCATACCTTTTAAAGAACTGGAAACTGTTATTAAAATATAGAACAGGGGAAAAAAAACACCTTCCATAAAAAATATCCAGGCAAAATTAGCTTCACTGGTGAGTTCTCCCGAATATTTAAGGAAAAAAAAATTCTAGCTATACACAAATTCATCCGAAGACTAGAAAAAGAGGGAACATTTTCGAACTATCTTTATGGAGCAAATGTAACATTAATACAAAAACTTGACAGAAACATTACAGGAAGGAACATTACAAGCAACAAAATTCTCATGAATATAATATAAAAATCCTATTCAGAATATTATCAAGCAAATCCAACATTATACAAAATGGTAATGCAACATGACCAAGTGAAACTTATTCCATGATTTCAAAGTTGTTTTAACACTTGAAAATCATTCACTCACAGAAAAAAAAAAAGGAGAAAATAGTAGTATTATTTTGAGGCAGAAAAAGCATTTAATAAAATTCAACACCTATTCATGATTTTTTTAAACACTTTGCACAAACTAGGAATAGAGGAGAACTCCCTTAGTCACACAAAGAGTATATTCCAAAAACCTACAACATCATACTCAATGGTAAAATATTGGAACAGTTTTCTTCGGAGTAGGAATGAGATAAAGATGTCTACTCTTACCATTATCATTATAGCATTGTACAGAAGCTCCTAATGAGTGATATGAAGCAAGAAAAGGAGGTAAAAAGTATAAAGCTGGAAAGGAAGAAACTTTTTCCTATTCACAGAAGCCATGGCTGTGTACATATCAAATCAAAAGGAAAAAAATTGCCTGGGTGGCTCAGTCGGTTGAGCACTCAACTCTTGATTTCAGCTCTGGTCATGAACTCAGGGTCGGGGGATTGAGCCCTGTGTTAGGCTTTGGGCTCAGCACAGTTGGTTTGGGATTCTCTCTCTCCCTCTCCTTTTGCCCCTCCCCCCATTCATGCTTGCTCTTTCTAAAATAAATAAATAAAATATTTAAAATGAGCATTAAAAGTGTTCAATATTATTAGTCATTGATAAATATAAAGCCACAGTGAAATTTTATTGCACAATTATCAGAATGTCTAAATTAAAAGACTGACAATAACAAGTGTTAACAAAGATGCAGAGCAACTGGAACTCTTACACATTGTCATTATAGTACAAACTGAAATAAACACTTTGGAAAACCAATTTGGCAGTATCTACTAAAACTAGATGTGCATTTACCCTATAATCCAAAAATTCTTTTCTTGATATAGATATGAGTGAAATAAGAAAGAAATAAGTGCTTATTTTCCACAGTATTGTGCTGAGCATTTTATAATGCATATAAATGTCAAATCACTATGTTGCACCTGAAACTAATATACTATACTTCAATTTAAAAAATAAATTTTAAAATATTGCAATGGATTAAGTGTGGTATTTGTGTAAAGAAATACTATACACCAAAGAAGATAATTACATGCAATAAACAAAGATGACTTTCCAAAACAGTACATAGTTTTCAAGAATAGCCAAACTAGGGGCACCTGGGCAGCTCAGTTGGCTCAGTATCTAACTCTCGACTTCAGTTCAGGTCATGAACTCAGGGTAGTGAGATTGCGCTATGCCTCGGGCACTGCACTGAGTGTTGAGCTTGCTTAAGATTTTCTCTCTCCCTCTCTCTGCCCCTCCTCCCTGCTCACATACTCTCTTTAAAGAAAAAATAAATAAAAAGAAAGAAAGAAAGAAAAAAAATAGGCAAACTAATAAATGGTGATTAAAGTCAAAATAATAGTTATCTTGGGGTGAGGGTGTTTATTGATTGGGAAAGGTATGAAGGAGCCTTCTGGAGCACTGGAAATGTCTATGTCTTGACATTGGTGGTAGTTTTATGGAGATATATATGATATATATATAATATATATATATATATAATGGAGATATATATGATATGTATAATATATATATAATTATATATAATATATGTACATATATATAATCTTTCTTTTCTGAGTTCAATAGATAATTTTTCCTAATAATCAGCAAATACTTTGAGTTATTTTTTTAAGATTTTATTTATTCATGAGAGACACACACAGAGAGAGAGAGAGAGAGAGAGGCAGAGGCACAGACAGAGAGAGAAACAGGCTCCATGGCGGGAGCCTGATGTGGGACTCGATTCCGGGTCTCCAGGATCACGCCCTGGACTGAAGGTGGCACTAAACCGCTGAGCCACCTGGGCTGCCCACTTTAAGTTATTTTTAAGTGAAACAGAATCACTGCATCTCAGCTTGCAAAAGACTTTTAACAGTCATTTAGATAGGTATCTAAATTTTGAATCCCTCATTATCACAGTCTTATGAACTCTAGTTCACAAAAAGACTGGACCCCTCCAGTGTGAAAACATTCATTGTATCACCCAAGGTGGTAAATAAATAGCACCATTCCCACTCATATAAGAACAATTTCCTAATTTCGTCTTTTTAAAAGAGGCAGCACTGAATGATGGAAATGAGAAGGGTTCTTAGACATTCTTCAGAACAGAAAGTTAAAAAAAAAAAAAAGTTCCTAAATCACATAGAGCTTTTTACACTGCCATCCTCCTCACAAAAACTCACCTTGAACCTGCATGCGAGTTCTCACTAGGTGCAGGGGGTAGCTGATAAACTGACCACAAAAGTTAGAGAAGGCATTATATCCAATCAAAGTCAGCAACCCAGGGCCTTCTGTATCAGTGTTTAGTAAATGAGTCTTCAAAAGCTGACAGAGAACAAAGTAATAATATGCTTTAACAACTATTAAAGAAGAACCAAAATAATAAAATGCTAATATCTTTTCTCACAATAGGCATAGACTCCTACATTATAGAAAAGAATATAAAATGCAGTCATCCATGACAAAGTAATAAGATCTATAGGACATTTTTGAGCTGCCAATTTTTAGTGTAATTCAGTTATAGTTAGTAAAGCCTTACCCCCAATATTTCCAGGGCTCAAATTATCTAAATATTACCTCTTTTCCTAAGTGCCATCCTAGCAACTAGAATTACTCAGAGGTGTACAAACAAACCAGAGATCAGAGAACCTTAGTGATGGGAACTCACTATCCACTCAACTATGAGAGCCCTGATCACCTAATCTTTAGGGAGGTTTATTGTGTCAAACTGCACAATATCCCTTTAACAGCAATATTTTTGTTTCAGGACTCCTCTATACTCTTAAAAGTTGTTGAGAGCACCAAAAAGTTTTTGTTTCTATGGGTTATATCTATCAATATTATCTATTGTGTTAGATATTAAAACAGAAAAATTATAAACACAAGAAACATATTAAATAGCCATAAGAGCACTGATGTCATCACAAACCATATAGCCTTTGGAAAACTCTCATAAGAGAATAAGAGTGACAAGAGTAAATGGTGATTTCATATGCTATGAAAATAGTTTAGAATATAGCTAAACATGACTGAGAAAACACACACCCATGCTGATTGGTCTCATTTTAAATTCATGATCATAAAATCTTAAGTGGATCCATGGTTTTTCACTGAAATGATACCGTATTTTCCTTGACCATTTACTCTCCCAACATTATCAGCATCATTCTTTCAAGTGAACAACTACATTCTCCATTGTCCTAGAACTTCCGACACTAGCTGATCTTAAAATTCATATGAAAATGTAAGAGATCCAGCATAGCCAAAGCAATGCTTAGGAAAGAACAAGGTTAAATAATTTACACTTTCTGATTTTAAAACTTACTACAGACCTCCACCAACCAAGCCAGTGTGATACATAAGCATAGACATACAGATCAATGAAGTAAAATTCAGGAGTCCAGAAATAAACTCTTTCATGATGGCCAACTGATTCAACAAGGGTGCCAAGTACTTTCCACGGCCTGCAAGGCTCTGCTAAATCTCATTCTCTGAACTCACCTCCTACTAACCCTCGGTTTCCTCCACTGCAGCTACACAGGCACACTCCCACCCTGTTCTCTCTGTAGATTTATACATGGCTCACCCTCTCCATTTCTTCTGTTCTTTGCTCAAAATTCACCTTCTCAGGAGGACCTTCCCAGACCACGATATTGAAAATTTCAGTCCCTAACTCTACCTATTCTGCTTTCCTGTTCTGTTTTTCTCTATAACCCTTATCACTAAGGCATTATATGTTTAAATAATTTATTGTCTGTCTCCCAGTTGAAGAATGTTGAGATCCCCAGTGACAGGACTTTCTGTCTCTCTTGTTTGGTGCACCTAGAACAGAGCCTCGTACATGCAACTCAATCATTATTTGTTTACTGAATAAATCCTCATTTTTAAGGTGAGAGAATCCAGGCCCAGATAGGTTAAGAAAACCGTGGAGCCAGAATTAGAACTCAAGCAGTCCAAGTCCGCAATTCTAATTGCTATCCTAACCGCTGATGAGAATTAAAAAGTTTGCTGGGGGTGGAAGGTCCCAGGAATTACCAAATAGAGAGGGATTTGGGTAAGAAAGTTCATGCCTGATGGTCTATCAGAATCAGCTATAGAGAATGACCAAAGTGAAACTGGACAATATTAACCTAGAAAAAAAGTCATTATTTCTCATACGTAGCCCCCCAAAAACTTACATTCTCCTCCTACTTTTTTTTAAAGCTGTAGTTAATTAATTGTATTTATATTTTTTATTTAAATTCATGTTAGTTAACATACAGTGTAGTAATACTTTCAGGAGTAGAATTTAGTGATTCATCACTTACATATACCCCCAGTGCTCATCCCAGTAATTGCCCTCCTTAATGCCCATCACCCTTTTATCCTGTCCCCCCATTCACCTCCCCTCCAGCAACTCCCATTTTGCTCTCTATAGTTAAGAATCTTTTATGGTTTGCCTCCCTCTTTGTTTTTATCCTATTTTATTTTTTTCTTCCCTTCACCTATGTTCATGTTTTGTTTCTTAAATTTCAAATATGAGTGAAATCATATGGCATTTGTTTTTCTCTGATGGATTTCCTTTGCTTAGCATACTACACCCTAGTTCCATCCACATTGTTGCTGATGGCAAGATTTCATTCTTTTTGGTCACTGAGTAATATTCCATTGTATATATTTGTGTGATATATATATATATATATATATATATATATATATCACATCTTCTTTTTAAAAATATTTTATTTATTATTTGAAAGAGAAGGAAAGAGCACAAGAGGGGGGAGGGGCAGAAGGAAATGGAGAAGCAGGCTTCCCACTGAGCAGGGAGCCCAACATGGGAGTCAATCCCAGGACCCTGACATCATGACTTGAGCTGAAGGCTGATGTTTAACCAACTGAAGCACCCAGGCTCCCCTATACCACATCTTCTTTATCCATTGATCTGTCAATGGCTATTTGGGCTCTTTCCATAATTTGGCTATTGTTGATAGTGCTGCTTTAAACCTTTGGGGTGCATGTGCCCCTTCAAATCAGCATTTTTTTACCCAGTGGATACATACCTACTAGTGCAATTGCTGGGTCATAGGGTTCTATTTTTAACTCGAGGAACCTCCAGCATGAAATGTTTTTCCATTTCTTTGTGTCTTCCTCAGCTTCTTTCATAAGTGTTCAATGGTTTTCACCTTACAGATCTTTTACCTCTTTAGTTAGGTTTATTCCTAGGTATCTTATGGTTTTTGGTGTAATTATAAATGGGACTCATTCCTTGATTTCTCTTTCTGCTGCTTCATTATTTGTATATAGAAATGCAACAAATTTCTGTACATCGATTTTATATCCTACAACTTTGCTGAATTCATATATCAGTTCTAGCAACTTTCTAGTGGAGTCTTTTGGGTTTTCTACATAGAGTATCATGTCATCTGCAAAGAGTGAAATTTTGTCTTTTTCCTTATGGATTTGGATACCTTTTATTCCTTTTTGTTGTCTGATTGCTTCCAGTACAATGGACTTCCAGTACAATGTGGAACAAGTGGTGAGAGTGGACATCCCTGTGTTTTTGACTTTAGGGAAAAAGCTGTCAGTTTTTCCTATTGAGAATGATATTAGCTGTGGACCTTTTGTATGGCCTTTATGATGTTGAGGTATGTTACTTCTATCCCTACTTTGAGGGTTTTTATCAAGAAAGGATGCTGTATTTTGTCAAATGCTTTTTCTGCATCTACTGAGAGGATCACATGGTTCTTATGCTTTTTTTATTAATGTAGTGCATCACATTGATGATTTGCAGATGTTGAACCACTCCTGTAGCCCAGGAATAAATCCCACTTGATCATAGTGGATAATCCTTTTAATATACTGTTGGATTCAATTATCTTGTTGAGAATTTTTTCATACATGTTCATCAAGGATATTGGTCTATAATTCTCCTTTTTAATGGGGTCTTTGGTTTCAGAATCAAGGTAATGCTGGCCTCATAGAATGAGTTTGGAAATTTCCCTTCCATTTCTATTTTTTTGGAACAGCTTCAGAAGAATAGGTACTCATTCTTCAGATGTTTGGTAGAATTCCCCTGGGAAACCATTGGCCCTCGACTGGTTTGTTGGGAGATTTTTGATTAGTGATTTCATTTCTTTGCTGGCTATGAGTCTGTTCAAATTGTCTATTCCTGTTTCAATTTCAGCAGTTTATATATTTCTAGGAATTATCCATTTCTTCCAGACTGCCCAATTTGTTGGCATATTACTCATAATATTCTAATTGTTTGTATTTCTGTGGTGTTGGTTGTGATCTCTCCTCTTTCATTTGTGATTTGATTTATTTGTGTCCTTTCTCTTCACTTTTTTGATAAGTCTGGCTAGGGATTTATCAATTTGGTTAATTCTTTCAAAGAACCAGCCCCTCCTTTAGTTGATCTGTTTTACTGTTGTTTTTTTTTTTAATTTCTATATCATTTATTTCTGCTCCAATCTTAATTATTTCCCTTCTTCTGCTGGTTTTCAGCTTTATTTCCTATTCTTTTTTTGGCTCCTTTAGTTGTAAGGCTAGGTTATATATTTGAGACTTTTCTTGCTTTTTGAGGAAGGCCTATATTGCTATATATTTCTATCTTTTGACTGCCTTTGCTGCATCCCAAAGGTTTGGACTGTCCTATTTTCTTTTCATTTGCTTTCATGTATTTTTTATTTCTTCTTTAATTTTCTGGTTAACCGATTCATTCTTTAGTAGAATGTCCTTTAACTTCCATGTATTTGTGGTCTTTCCAAATTTGCTCTTGTGGTTGACTTCAAGTTTCATGGCGTTGTGGTCTGAAAATATGCATGGTATGACCTTAGTCTTTTTGTACTCATTGAGGCTTGATTTGTGAGCCAGTGTGTGATCTGTTCTGGAGAATGTTCCACATGCACTCAAAAAGAATGTGTATTCTGCTGCTTTAGGACGAAATGCTCTGAATATGTCTGTGAAATCCACGTGGCCCAGTGTGTCATTCAAAGCCATTGTTTCCTTATTGATTTTCTGCTTAGGTAATCTGTTCACTGCTGTGATGAGGTGTGAATGGCCCCTACTATTATTGTATTATTATCAATGCATTTTAAATTTGTTAGTAATAGGTTTACATATTTGGCTGCTCCCAAGTTGGGCAGTCAGAACTTCCCTTATAAAGATGCTCCTGCCAGGCACAGGGGCCTGGGGTTTGTTGTAAGGGAATCCAGACTCCACTGGAGGTGCTGTGTTTCTCCCTGAAGTCTGACAGAGACAAATCAGACTTCTGATGCCAGAAAGCAAAAAAAAGCAAAATAATGTCATGCAATCTCCTTGGTAGTCTAGAGGTCAGAAGAGAGGTTAAAAAACAGATCTGCAAGTAAGTGGTATACCAGCTATCTTGAAACCCAGCAATAGATGGAATCATCAAAGGACAGTGGGTAGTGTGCAGGGAGAGAAGAGGGGAGGTTGAGATCAACACTCAGAGAAAACTACTATGTAATCCTGAAGAAGAGGAGCCAGCAAAACAAACTGTAAAAGTTGTGTTTCTAATAACTCTGCCTTAAATTTATAATTTGATAAAAATTTTTTAAGTTGTACTATAATTTCAGAACGAATAAATCTGTTTTTTTTATTTTTTATTTATGATAGTCACAGAGAGAGAGAGAGAGAGAGAGAGAGAGAGGCAGACACACAGGCAGAGGGAGAAGCAGGCTCCATGCACCGGGAGCCCGACGTGGGATTCGATCCCGGGTCTCCAGGATCGCGCCCTGGGCCAAAGGCAGGCGCCACCCAGGGATCCCAATAAACCTGTTTTTAAGTCCATCATGAAAACAAACTCACCTCATAAATAGTAAAATCTATGCCTACATATGGTATGACAGCCAGAAGACTAGGGACATAGCCTTTGTAAAAGCCTGTAACCGTTTCAAATTTCCAAATCTTCCTGGCACAATCCAAAATCCCAGAGTACTGCCCAGTTCTACTCACGGCCAAATTAGTTTTTAAAACCTGAATGTGAAATAAGATAATATTGTAAGGTCATTGATCAGTTATCTAACCCAGAGCATTACCATAAATTGACCCATTATTATGGAATTAAAAAAGAAAAGAATCTTAGGTTATATTATATTTTTAATGACAGTATATGTATATATTTTCCTACTGTTTCCTGGAATATTTTAGTTTTCCATAGGAATATTTTACAAATGCAGTGTTTAAGTGCTTTTACTAAATTTCTTAATTTAACTTCATAGAAAGATAGAGTGAATTCAGCTATGTTTTCTTTTTGTCCAAATTATAAGATCATACCTGCAGCTATTATACTGTAACTTAGATAAGGAACCCAAAATAAAAAAAGAAGCTCTCACAACCCCTCACCCCCAAATTTAGTGTCCTAAGAAACCTATATTAGGATTTCACAAACAGCTACACACACACACACATATATATATACGTACACAAGGAAAGTATAAGAAAAGATCAACAGAATTTTAGATGGTATCATCAGGAATTGCAATATCTATCAAATAAGAGTTATAGAAGGAGGGAGACCTCCAGGGGAGACGGAGGAGCAGGAGGATCTTAAGCTCACCTTGTCCCACAAATAAAACTGGAAAACACCCACATCAGTGTAAATAACTCAGAAAACACCAGAAGACCAGCAGAACAGACTCTCCACAAGTAAGTGGAGAGAAGAGACATCAAGAGACTGTTCAAGGGCCAGGGGGCAAGGTGGGCAGTAGAGGGAAAGCATCCCAGGCATAGGCATCCCACACAAGAAGACAAATTCCCATATTTGGCTTTGAAAATCAGAGGGGTCAAATTTTGTAGTTCTTACAATCAGCAGGGCAGCGGGCTCGGTTTAGGAGATCCCGGAGAGGGTAGCCCTGGTGGCGCAGCGGTTTAGCGCCGCCTGCAGCCCGGGGTGTGATCCTGGAGACCCCGGATTGAGTCCCACATCAGGCTTCCTGCATGGAGCCTGCTTCTCCCTCTGCCTGTGTCTCTGCCTCTCTCTCTCACTCTCTCTGAATGAATAAATAAATAAATCTTAAAAAAAAAAAAAAAAGGTGATCCCAGAGAGCCACAGGAAGCTGCGTCTCCGCCCTTAGAGAGACAACACCGCAGACAACCCCAAGGAGATACAGCACAGAACCCGCAGTTTGAAAAACCGCCTGGGGCATATGGGAGGGAAATTTGTTTACTAAATCAGATTATGTGCTAGAGGGGCAGGGAATGTTGCAAGACTTCTTCAGGATCAAAGATGCTGGTAGACACCATTTCCCCCCATTACCCCCTATTTAGACGCAGACACAGGCAGAAACCAACACAGCGCCAACACTACGGAGTGTGGACTTGCTCGCGGGTGCCCCGCCCCGGCGTCATCCTGCAGACACACCCCCTGGAGGCGGGCCTCAGCCCCAGGCCCCTACCACGCCGACCTGTGCAAACCTTGCTAACACTGTGCATCTCACTCCCATGGACTCCTGCGTTACCTGCCCCCACAACCAGGCCTGCCTCAGTCTCCTGAGGCTGCAGGTCGCCTCCCACAGTGGGCCTGCTCAGACCTTGCTGGAACCATAGACCTCAGCACCATATTCTTCTGTGGACTTGCCCGCTCCAATTGTCCCTTGATCCAAGCCCATCCAATGCAGTGCCATAAGCCTGGCAGCCCACAGCCCCAATAGAAGCCAGCAGCACTCCAAAGTGACCTATATCCTGCGGAGAGGGGAAGATAGCCACACATATGGGACCAATTATGGCCACAGCAGTAGGCCGGGGGCAGACATCTGGTCTGACTGCAGGCCCTGCCCACCAACAAAAGCTTCACAGAGGACAACACAGGGAGTGAAGCAGCAGTTCAGTATTGCTGCATCTCTGGGAAACACCTTGACTGACTCAACTTAAGACCAAGGTGGCCCTGGACTGGCCCAATAACAAAACAGGGACCAAACCCTGCTCACAACAGGCAAAGAGAGCCATTGCAGATGACCAGACTGAAGAAAAAAGTTGCTCAGCCATAACAGCAGAGAAAATGTAATACACAGGGAAGATAGCTCTGAAGCACCAGGTTCTGGGGAACAGGGGACATTGCACTACAGGATATTGTAGGACATCTTCATAGTGGCCATCTTATTGAAGGCCACTACTTTCAAGAGCAGGAGACATAGCTGAATTTCTTAACATACAGAAATAGACACAGACAGTAAGTCAAAATGAGGAGACAAGAATACGTCCCAAATGAAAGAATGAGACAAAAATCACAGCAAGAGAGCTATATGAAATGGAGATAATAGGCCTGATAAAGACCTTAAAGAGGGGCAGCCCCGGTGGCGCAGCCCCGGTGGCGCAGCGGTTTAGTGCCGCCTGCAGCCTGGGGTGTGATCCTGGAGACCCGGGATCGAGTCCCACATCGGGCTTCCTGCACGGGGCCTGCTTCTCCCTCTGCCTGTGTCTCTGCCTCTCTCGCTTTCTCTGAATGAATAAATAAATAAATCTTTTAAAAATAATTTTAAAAAAAGACCTTAAAGAGGGGCACCTGGGTGGCTCAGTGGTTGAGCATCTGCCTTGGCTCAGGTCATGATTTCAGGACCCTGGGACCGAGTCCCACATAGGGCTCACTCTACTGCCTATGTCTCTGCCTTTCTCTTTCTCTGTCTCTCATGAATAAATAAATAAAATCTTTAAAAAAAAAAAGACATTAAAGAAATGATCATAAAGATATTCATTGGACTTAAGAAAAGAGTAGAAGACCTCAGTGAGACTATTAACAAAGAGATAGAAAACATTTAAAAAAAACAGAGATGAAGAACTTAATATATGAAATTAAAAATACACTAGGTGGGATAAATAGTAGATAAAAGGAAGAAGAAGAGATCAGCAACCTGAAGGACAAAGTAATAGAAATCAGTCAAACTGAAAAGAACAGAGAAAAATAACAATAAAAAATGAAAGTAGACTAAGGGAGTTTAGCAATACCATCAAGCATAATAACATTCACATTATAAGGATCCCAGAAAAAGAAAAAAAATGGGGGTCAGAAAATTTACTTGATGAAATAAAGGCTGAAAACTTCCTGAATCTGAGGAAGGAAACAAATCCAGATCAGGAAGCACAGAGAGATCCAGCAAAATCAACCAGAGGAGGTCCACACCAAGGCACATAGTAATTAAAATTAAAAAGAGAATTTTAAAAACGGCAAGAGAAAAAAAACAGTCATATACAAGAGAAGCCCCATAAGACTATCAGCTGATTTTTCAGCAAAAACTTTGTGGGCGAGAAGGGGGTAGTATTATATATTCAAAATGCTAAAAGACAAAACCTGCAGCTAAGAATACTCAATCCAAAAAAATCAAAAGAATACTTAATCTAGCAAAGCTATTGTTCAGAATAAAAGGAGACATTAAGAGTTTCCCAGACAAAGGTTAAAGAAATTCATCACCACTAAATCAGTCTTATGAGAAATGTTAAAGGGGACCCTGACTGGAAAGGAAAGACCATAAGCAGGAGTACAAAAGGCAGGACAGACAAAAGTAGTAAAAGTAAGTATATCTATAAAAATCAGTCAAGGGAAGGGACACCTGGCTCAGCGGTTAAGCATCTGCCTTGGGCTCAGGGCATGATCCTGGGGTTCTGGGATCGAGTCTCGCATGGGGCTCCCTGCATGAACTCTGCTTCTCCCTCTGCCTGTGTCTCTGCTTCTTTCTCTCTCTGTGTCTCTCATGAATAAATAAAAAAAAATCTTTAAAAAAAATCAGTCAAGGGATTCACATAAAAAAAAGGGTGTAAAGTATGACACCATATACCTAAAATATGGGGGGAGAGGAGTACAGAAAGGGCTTAAACTTAAGGGACCATCATCTTAATATAGACTGCTATATGCAGAAGATGTTATACACAAACCTAACCACTAATCAAAAACTGGAAATAAAGAAGTAAAAAAATAGAGAAACAAATCCAAATATATCACTAAAGAAACCAAACAAAATCATGAGACAAGAGAGCAAGAGAAGAAAAAAACAGAGAACTACAAAAACAATCATAAAACAAGTAACAAAATGACATTAAGTTCTCATCTATCAATAATTACTTTGAATGTAAATGGACTAAATGCTCCAGTCAAAAGAACACAGGGTTATGGAATAAGAAAGCAAGACTCGTCTATATGCTGATTACAATTCAGACCTAAAGACACATGCAGATTGAAAGAGAAGGGATGGAAAAACATTTATCATGAAAATGGAAGTGAGAAGAAACCCAGGATAGCAGTATTTATATTGGACAAAATAAACATTAAAACAAAGACTGTAACAAGAGACAAAGAAAGACACCATGCAGGGAAATAATCCTACAAGAAGACATCACAATTGTATATATTTATGCACCCAACATGGGAGCAACCAAATACATGAAGCAGCTATTAACAAACATAAAGGAGCTAATCAATAGTAATACAATAATATAGGGGACTTTAGCACCCCACTTACATCAATGGATAGGTCATCCAAACAGAAAATTAACGTGAAAACAGTGGGGTTGAATGACACATTGGACCAGATGGATCTAACAGATATTCAGAACATTCCATCCTAGAACAATGGAATACACATTCTTTTCAAGTGCACATGAAGCATTCTCCAAAATAGATTAGGCCCAAAACAAGGCTCAACAAATTCAAAAAGATCAAAGACATACCCTATATCTTTTCCTACCATAGCACTATGAAACTAGAAGTCAACCACAAGAAAAAATCTGGAAAGAATATAAATACATGGAGGTTAAACAATATGCTATTAAACAATGAATGGATCAACCAGAGAAATCAAGGAGGAAACCAAAAATACATGGAGACAAACCAAAATGAAAAAAAAAATGATCCAAAATTCTAGGGATACAGCAAAAGCTGTGCGAAGAGGAAATTTTAGGGGTGCCTGTGTGGCTCTCATGAATAAATGGCTCAGTCAGTTAGGCTTTTGCCTTCAGCTCAGGCCATGATCCCAGGATCCTGGGTTAAGTCCAGTGTCAGGCTCCTTGCTGAGTGGGGAGCCTGCTTCTCCCTCTGCCTGCCACTCCCCCCAACCCCCCCCCCTTGTGATGTGTCTCTCTCTGACAAATAAATAAATACAATCTTTTTTTAAAAAGAAGGAATTTTATACATTTACAGGCCTACCTCAACGAGCAAGAAAAGTATTAAATAAACAACCTAACCTTATACCTACAGGAGTTAGAAAAGGAGTAACAAACAAAACCTAAAAACAATAGTAGGAAGGAAATAATAAAGATTAGGACAGAAATAGACAAATTAGAAACTAAAGAAATAATGGAACAGGTCAATAAAACCAGAAGTTGGTTCTTGCAGAGAAATTATAAACCCTTAGCCAGACTCATAAAAAAAGAAAATGGAGAGAGAGCTCAAATAAAAATATCAGAAATGAAAGAGGAGAAATAACAACCAATACCACAGAAATGTAACTATAAGAGAATATTATGAGCAATTATATGCCAATAAACTAGACAACCTAGAAGAAATAGATAAATTCCTAGAAACGTATAACCTCCCAAAACTAAATCAGGAAGAAATAAAAAATTGAACAGACCCATTACCAGCAATGAAACTGAATCAGTAATCAAAAAATCCCAACAAACAAAGTCTAGGACCATATGGCTTCAGAAGTGAATGCTACCAAACATTTAAAAAAGAATTAACATCTAATCTTCTCAAACTATTCCAAATATTAAAGAGGAAAGAAAGCTTCCAAATTAATTCTGTGAGGCCTACATTACCCTGTTACCAAAACAAGACAAAGACACGACAAAAAAGAAAACTACAGGCCAACATCTCTGATGAACATAGATGCAAAATCCTCAACCAAATATTAGCAAACTGAATCCAACAATACATAAAAAATCATTCACTGTGATCAAGTGGAATTTATTCTGGGGGTGCAAGCATGGTTTGATACTTGTAAATCAATGTGATACATCACATCAAGAGAAAGGATAAAAATAACTGTATGATCATTTCAATAGACACAAACAAAGCATTTGACAAAGTACAACATCCATTTATGATAAAAACCCTCAACGAAGTCGGTTTACAAGGAATATATCTCAAAATAACAAAGGCCATCTATGAAAATTTTCACTAAAATTATACTCAATTATGGAAAAACTGAGGGCTTTTCCCCTAAGATCAAGAACAACATAAGGATATCCACTATCATCACTTTTATTCAACATAGTATTGGAAGTCCTAACCAAGCAATCAGATAAGAAAAGGAAGTAAAAGTCATCCAAAGCAGTAAGGAAGAAGTAAAACCTTCACTATTTGCGGATGACATGATACTATATACAGAAAACCCTAACGACACCACTAAAAAACTACTCGAACTGATAAATGAATTCATAAAGTTGCAGGATAAAAAAAGAAAAAATATCATCCAAAATTTAATAGTAAAAAATTTTCCAGGACCACAAAAATGCCAACTTTTTCACTGGAAAAAAACAAAATGAACTAATACAAAGAAAAGAATCCAAATCTGTACAAGTCATGGGTGCAATTTCAGAAGAATAATGATTAAGAGAAAATCTTAAAAGCTTCCAGATTATTAGAATTAATAAGAGTAATGTAGAGTCATTGGACAGAAGTGAAAATCCAAGAGTTTTCATGTATACTAGCAATAAATATTAGCAAAATGTAATGGAATACATTAATGGCAACAAATATCACAAAGTATCTAGTAATATAAAAGCCTCATAATGTGTAAGACCTCTATAAGAAAATTATAAACTTTATCAAAGAATATAACAGAAGATCTAAATAGAGAGAGATACCTCCTCCCTGAACAAAAAGATTCAGTATCACAATTGCCATTTCTTCCCAAATTCATTCAGTACAATTAGAGTCAAAAATCTCAACTGGTTTTTTTTTCATCTTTTGTTTTTAAAGAAACATGTTCAGATGGAAGGGAAAATGCAAAAAAAGAACAGTAATAGAAACATCAGCTTAAACATCACAGCTCTGGGGCAGCCCCGGTGGCTCAGCGGTTTAGCACCGCCTTCAGCCCAGGGCCTGATCCTGGAGACCCAGGATCAAGTCCCACATCAGGCTCCCTGCATGGGGCCTACTTCTCCCTCTGCCTGTGTCTCTGCCTCTCTCTCTCTCTCTCTCTCTGTCTCTCATGAATAAATAAATAAATAAAATCTTAAAAAAAAAAAAAGAAACTTTAAAAAAAACAAAAACAAAACATCACAGCTCTGGTGATATTGCCCTGGCAATAAGTTTTCCCTACTCAATGTCATTACTACTAATTGTAAGAGGATTGTGGTTCATTTGAAAAAAATAGCCATAATTTTCATTAAAGTTAGCAATTAAATCACCTTCTTTCAACCACACTTACCTCCAAGGGGTAAATAAAAGATTGTGCAGTAGCACCAGCCAAAGAAGCAGAAGCAAATTGCTCAAAAGTTTCTAATTTGGTTCTTTCAGAAGAAAGAAACCTCTTGTACTGTATTAATAAGAGTTCAAAGGTATGTTAATACTCAGAAGTCCAAGAGGGCATACAAATTTATTTAGTATCAATGAATACGTGGGCATTTACTCCATAATTAAAAACCATAATGCACATTACCAAGGACGTATATATAGTCATGCCCTTTAAATAGGAGGCTCCTACCTTAACAGTACAGACTTCAGCTTGTATGTCTTTGTCTAGAATAAAATCTGGTATCTAGCAGACATCCAATAAGTGTTGATTATGATAAGGAATTCATATAATGGAATGCAAACCACTGAGATAGAAACAAGCGAGCATCCTATGCAGTAAATTCTAGTGGAACTTTATTTAATTTGTGATGTCATGAAGCAACATAATACCACAAACAAACCTAGGACTTGATCTTGGCTAGGTCACTTACTGAGTAATCCAGGACAAATTATTCTCTATAACTCAGTTTTTTCATCTGGAAAATGAAGTTAAATGCCTTGTCCAAACCAGTCACCATTATATCTGCAGTCCCTACTTTGTAGGATTCTTGTGAATATTAAACACAATAATGCACACATGTAACATGCTTGCCACATAGCAACTGAGGAAACAGTCATTATTACTGCATAATGATAATAAAATTTTCCTTAAGGAATGGATTTCAGTAGAGTATTTCCTTGATTTTTACTTTGGTCCGTATATTAGCTTGTTGTTCCAAGCCAGTCAGTACATCCCATTACTTGATATTGAGTAGTTCAAGGACTGATAAATGACACAACCTGGACCAGTGAGACCCAAAGAAATGTTTCAGGAAGACCTCCCAAAAGAAGCTTCCTTGTTCTTCTGAGAGAACTACAAGGAGAGTCAGATGTCTTCCCACTACTCACAAAGAAACATGAACCCCTGAAAGCCTCTGGCAGTCATCTTTCAATTCCAAAAAGAGTCTTAAAATAAAGAACTCAGTGGAAGTCAGAGAGAAGAGATGGGGGTGGGAAGGAGTCTTTGGTAACACTGTTAAGCTGAGAGATAAAACTTCATTGGAAGTCTACCCTATTTCTAAATGTGAGAAAATAAATTCGATTTATTATATGTACCAGCTTGGGTCACACTTTCTATTATTTATGACCTTTTAAAGATTCCTAGCTGATATGGACACCTCAAGCTTCACATGCTCAAAACTAAATATACACACCGGGTGCCCCCTACTCCAAAATCGTGTGATCTTCCTAAAGGGCAAATGTTATTTACTAAAAAAGTAGACCGTGAATGGTTCCCCCGGGGATTTGTGATGTGGCAGTCCTGCCCAAGTGTCCCCATTGTAATAAATGGCCCCAGTTGAACAAACTAGAAATTTCAGTATCATCTGTGACATCCCTCTCTCTCTTACACTCCACAAACAATTATAACAAAATCTTACCTACTTCTTAAATATCTGTGGAATCTGTCCACTTGTCTCTCCCCACTGACTGACATCACTCTCACCTCTCACCTGGGTTACTGCATATTGTCTCAACCAGACTCCCTGCATATACTTTTGCCTCTCTTCCTTTGCCTGTCTGCCTCTTCAATCTCATCTTCAACCACAATCACCACACTAGTCTTAGGGGGCTTCTTTTAACACCTCAAACACACCTTGCTCTTTTGCCTCCAGGGCTTTAAACATGTCGTTCCCCCTGTGTGAAATATTCTTTTCTCTGTCTTTCAATTGGAAATTTTTCACTTACCCTTTGGGTTTCAGCCTAAATGTTACCTCCTTGAGGAGGCCATCCCTAGCCCCCCAACCTAGTTTGAATTCCTCTGTAGAACTTTCCCACAGTACCCTGTATTATGCTTTATGTAGTGCTTGGGACCACTGTTTCTTGGATGCTTATGATGTGCCAAGCTATTTGCAGAGTAGATATTGTAGTTTCTACATTTTACAGATGAGCCAAATGAAGTTCAGAGATGTTATGGGAACTTATCCAAGTCCACACAGTTAGAATGGGGCAAACACAAGTCTGTGGTCTCTAAAGCCTGCCGCTGTCCATTGCTTCATTTGTTCTCCCTCAATTCAACCATATTTCTGTTGGAAGTCAGTGAACTTAATATACTACTGTTAAGTTTCCATGTAGAAGCCCAAACCAATTACCTAAACTAGCTTCTATTGACGGAATATTAAAAGAAGAAATTTGTTTTAAAAACAGCATTAAAGGGCAGCCCAGGTGGCTCAGCAGTTTAGTGCTGCTTTCAGCACAGGGTGTGATCCTGGAGACCTGGGATCGAGTCCCACGTCAGGCTCCCTGCATGGAGCCTGCTTCTCCCTCTGCCTTTGTCTCTGCCTTTCTCTCTCTCTCTGTCTCTCATGAATAAATAAATAAAATCTTAAAAAAAAACATTAAAATAACAGCATTATAATTTTAAAATAATAATAACAGGGTACCTGGGTGGCTCAGTCAGTCAAGCATCTGACTCTTGGTTTTGGCTCAAGTCATGATCTTGGGGTCATGGGATAGAGCCCCACATCAGGTTCTGTGCTCAATGTGCCAAAGATTCTTTCTCTCTCTCTCTCTCTCTGCCCCTCTCCCAATCATGCTTTCTCTCTCTCAAATAAATAAATATAATCTAAAAAAATATATAAAATAAAATAATATAAATTAAAATAATCTTTTAATATATACAAACAACTGTTTGCCTTTGTTTTATAATAATATGAAGTCAATTTTTCAAAAATAAAATTGAATAACTTTTCCTTGTTAATAAATGTCATAGTTATAGCTTTACCTGTTCATATGACCAGACCTTAACAGCTGTTTCAGGAGCAATCCTGAGAACATGCACACCATTTCCTCTCCACAGAGAAATGACTCCACCCTCTTTGACCATCTCTATGAAATGGTTTATTATCTTCACATTCTTTGCTTCTAAACTCTGAGCCTTGAAAAGGAAAGGAGGGATTCTGAAAATGGACAATATGATTTGAAGAACTTTGAAAACTGTATATTGTAATTTTCATGTGGGCAGGAAAGAGTTAAGATTCCCCAGCTATTGAAAGTCTCTCCTATTGGGGAAGCAGCAGCTGTTCTGGTGATTAGACAGCTTTGGAAGCAGGTTTACTTCGATCCTTGCACTATAGCTTATGAAGGGGGATACTTTACACATGGAACACAGATAAACATGCCATAGACATGATTGCTTTGTTTCCTGTTCCTCAAGGGGATGGACAAATGGCTCTTCCATCATGAAAAGATTGAATCAGAAGAATCAGAGAAATAACATTCCTGAGAAGTTAAACCACCGAAACTCAGAGAATTTATTGCTAAGAAGGGGCTATGAAGCCTTTAACAAGTGTGATCAGTAAGGTCAGTGTGATCAGAGGAAGAATAGAATCTGACTAATTTTGCGGCCAAAAGACCTGAGAACTTTCTCCAAGGCATACACTGGAAGACAAATACTCAATTTAGCCTTCAGAGAACAACAGAGAGTATGTCCTGTACATTGAATATATTGCATATAGCATAAGAAAGATTAAGCCTAGAACAATGCAATTTGGTATGTGAGTAAAAATAACAGAAGAAAAAAAAAGACAAATTCAACAAATATAGTTTAGTAAAAGAAGATGCAAAAGTGGTCTTCAAATAAGAGGTGTTAAAGAGGAATTTAGAGGCACCTGGCTGGCTCAGTCAGTGGAGCATAAGACCCTTGATCTCAGGGTTGTGAGTTCAAGACCCATGCTGGGGGTAGAAGTTACTTAATAAATAAAAGTGTTAAAAAATAATAAGGGGGTCTTTGTTTTTAGGGGACTGGGCAGGCAGCCCTTGCAGTATAATAGTGAATATTTAATAAATGTGTAGGGAATCAGCAGGATTCCTGCAATACATATATGAAGAAGAAAGGAAGGGGCAGGGGGGACTGACTAAATTTTTTTTTTAATTTTGAAAAAGAAGAACCAGAATGAGGATAATCACCAAGTCACTTGCAGTTAGAAGACAACTGCCAACTCTCTATTGAGGAGAGACAGACATTTAAACTCAAAATGATAACTGTATTATACAGTCACAATAATAAGTATATTTGCTTTAATTGTACAATAAATCTGTATTAGGAGGCCTAATAGCCAATATATAAAATAAGGAAATAATTCTGCACTGGCTGATTCACAAGCACTAAGCTAAGCCCTTGTGTATACCCACCACCTACACCACCAGTCACTCTGACTCCAAGGAGTCCAAGGTGGGCTCTACTTTGAAGAGGTACATGCCCCAGGGACCACTAACCAGTCTACATATCTGCCTTCTCTTGTGTCATCCCTGGGCCCCTTTGTGAAAAGCAAGTTCAGACCAAGACAGAAGAGACAGCACCCCTACTGATGGCATTTCCACCTTGACGGGCAAATGCTAGGTATCCATTTGACCCCAAAGGCTATGACAGCCCACCACCAGCGGGTGCACTCCAAAAGTTACCTCTCATACTCTCATCTTTACTGGTACTGTAGCCTCTGTGACATTACTTCATCTATACAGATTGTTAAATATTTTTTAAATCATTCTTCCTATAAATCATAATGTAATTTGGGATTTCTCAAGTATCCTCCTGTAAGTAACATAAAATGGTGTATCAATTAAGGAGTGCTATGTAACAAAACACTCTACAAAACTCAGCGGCTTGAAACAATGAACATTTCATTTGCTTATGATTCCATGGATTAGCAAATTGGACTGGGTTCAGCTAGCGTTTCTTTTGCTATTCTTCCCTGAGCTACTGTGTATCTATAGTCATCTGGCAGTTTGACAAGGACTGGTTGGTCCAAGATAGCTGCAGGCATATGGCTGGTGGTTGATATTACTAGCTGAACCTCTCTCTCTATGCAGTTTCTTATTTTCAACAAGGCTAGTCCAGACTTCTTTACCTGATGGTCTTAGGGCACTAAGCAGTCATGAACAAAAGCTGCAAGACCTCTTGAAGTTTAGGCTTCCAAATCCCACAACATCCCTCAATAAAACTGGTCCAGATTCAAGGAATGGTAAAAATAAACTCCACCTCTTGATGGGAGGAGTAGCAAAGTCATATTGCAAAGGATGGGAAGAATTATGGACTCTGTCTTTGCAAACAATCTGCCACAAGGAGGTATGGCACTAGATCCATAGAGAAAGAAATATAGCTCTAACATACCAGCTGGCTTTACAATAAATAATATTTATATCATCATAAGAATGTAAATGCTATTTATTAATTTTAAACATTTAAAATCACCCTATGACAAAACTGTGCGGATGTAAATATGATTGTAGATCAGAATGTTATGTTAACAACCTTTATAGTGTTGAAAGGGATATAATTCAACTCTCTCCTATGTTGCCAGAAATGCCATTAGTAAGCCATTAGTATAATAAGAAAATACATAAGTGACAGGATTCATTCCAGTATTTAGATCCTCTGGAAAGTCTGATTATTATCTCTCTTACAAGCAAATCTTTTTAAAATAATATTACCTGATGTTGGTAAGGATACAGGGAAACAAGTAACATCACACATTGCTAGGAAAAATGCAAATTGATATTATCTTTCTAGGAGGAAATATGACAATCTATCGAAAACCTTAGGATATGTTTAGAATTCCACTTGTGGTAATGGCAAACTAGTAATTAGGAATGAAATTGCCACTAAGGATAACTGAAAAAGTTGATAAAATATATAAAGTTTTCTTAAAGGTATCCATGAGCTAACAAGACAGAGACATATTTCAGGACCAGTATGTAGGAGGAAACACAGAAAGGTAGGAATAGCATTCAAGTGTATTTCTGAATGCAGAAGTTATTTTGGTGGCCTCAGGGGATTAACAAAGAACAAAAGGTAAATCCCAGAGCCCATCTGTCTCTCACATACCACCGCCACTTTAAATTGGGATTTGCAGGGCTATACCCTCATGGTAAGGGTAAACCAGAAGAACCCAGCCTCTGCAAGGACCTGCAGCATGGCTTTGTATCACCTGGGTGGTCCAGGGAACTTTAAGACTCGAACTTGAATTAAAGTGAGAATTGACAGCATTCCCAGGCACCTGACAGAAATAAACAAAAATCTAGTCTGAAGTTGGATATCATCATCCTTTTCCTCAAATTACTGCTACAAGTAATATTTTAAAAAACATTAACAAAACTAATGGAGGAGGGGAAGCAGAACGATTTTTTAAAATACAACAGAAGGCAAGAAAGGAAAAAGAGAGGAATTTAAAATAAGCACGGCAAATAGAAAGCATAAAATAAGATGGTAGGTTTAAACAAAAATATCAATAAATATATTAACTGTAAATGGAATAAATCTTCCAGCTAAAAATATAACAAAATCCAACCATATGCTGTTTTAAGTGACTTATCTTAAACATACAAATACAGAAAGTTTAAAAGAATGACAATGAATACATCACACAAATCCCAAACAGGAGAAGGGACTGTGACTATATTTATATCAGACAAAATAGAACTAAAAGTATTTATAGAGATCAAGAGGGTGCTTCACAATGATAAAAAGTTCAATTCACTAGAAGCATACAAACTTTAGGCCTCAAGATATATAAGGGAAAAAGTGATAGGCCTACAAGGAGAAGGCAAGGCCTGGGAGGGGCTCCTAGTACTCCAGACTCAATGAGAGAAATCTGAGGGAGTATGGTGCAGTGTAGACATTTGAGCCTGGCATGCATGGAGGGAAAGAACAGCTGGCAAAAGAAACAACAAGGCCACAAAAAACAGTGGAGTTTTCAAGAAACTGATCTATAGGGACATTACTTATGATCATTCCTTGGTTCTCTTGGTGACAGGGAAAGAATGCAAATAAACAGGATGTGTAAACTCCTTTTATACCAAAAAAATCTGAGTTGCTAAGGGACTAGATCTTAAATGTTATCATCACACACACACAAAAATTTGCAACTGTGTGGTGATGGATGTTAACTAGACTTACCATGGTAATTGTTTTTCAATATATACATATAATAAATCATTGTGTTGTACACCTGAAGCTAATATAATGTTATCTGTCAATTATATATTATATCTAATTTTTTAAAAATCCTGTAGGAGGGATCCCTGGGTGGCGCAGCGGTTTGGCGCCTGCCTTTGGCCCAGGGCGCGATCCTGGAGACCCGGGATCGAATCCCACATCGGGCTCCCGGTGCATGGAGCCTGCTTCTCCCTCTGCCTGTGTCTCTGCCTCTCTCTCTCTCACTGTGTGCCTATCATAAATAATAAAAAAAAAAATAAAAAAAACATTTAAAAAAAAAAATAAAATAAAATAAAAAAAATAAAAATCCTGTAGGAGAAACATAACTAGAAAACACAACCAATTGCAGAAGAAATCTATACCAGCTACTTAAAATATCTGATCCTTCATTTTTAATATTGAAGAACAATATAGGATCACAGTATATATGGAGAAGTAATGGCAGCAAAAAAAACCTAAAACTAAGATTAATCAAACTAATTCCAGAGAAAAATAGTGACAATTCAAGAAACTACAGTTAACTAAAACAAACAACATAAAGGACTCTAATATCCTCAGAAAGAATCAAGATGAAGCTGAATCAATAAAAAAAAAAAGAAAGCAAAGAAAAATACTATGAAAAAGGAACAATTGAAAGGATATTAGAAATATTTCTAAAATTTTGGAAAATCTTAGAAATTTAAAATGTGATTGCCAAAATAAGAAGTTCAATAGAAGGGTTAAAAAATAGGATGGGAAAAAAAATAGGATGGAAGAAATTTCCCAGAATGTTGAGTAAAATGATATAGATATGTGATAGATATATGACCAAATATATTTATGAAAATATAGATATATAATAGAAACAGAAAATAGATATATGATAGAATATATTTATGAAAAGGTAGGTCAATCCAGGAAGTACAACATCCAACTAATAAGAATTCCTGAGAGATAAAATGGAGGGAATAAAATTAGGAAAGAAATAATAAAATATACTAATGCAGAGGGAAGACATAAGTTTACAGTGAGGAAGAGCCTACCAAGTGTCAAACACAATGGATGATAAAAGAACCTACTTAAAACATTGTACAATTTCAAAACATCCAGGACAGAGGCATGACTAAAAGCTTCCAGAGAGAAAAAACAGATTATCTACCAAAACATCAGAGTGGCATCAGATTTCTAAAGTTACACTAGATGCTAGAAAATAATAGGGTAATGCCTTAGAAATTCTGAAGGAAAGCATTTTTTTTTTATAAATTAATTTTTATTGGTGTTCAATTTACCAACATACAGAATAACACCCAGTGCTCATCCCGTCAAGTGTACCCCTCAGTGCCCGTCACCCATTCACCCCCACCCCCCACCCTCCTCCCCCTCCACCACCCCTAGTTCATTTCCCAGAGTTAGAAGTCTTTATGTTCTGTCTCCCTTTCTGATATTTCTCACACATTTCTTCTCCCTTCCCTTATATTCCCTTTCACTATTATTCATATTCCCCAAATGAATGAGAACATACACTGTTTGTCCTTCTCCGGTTACTGTGGCCAAGTTCAAAAAGGGTGTTGCCTGAGTTCTTCTCTGGGATTTTGATGGAATCTTGTCTCACATTTAGATCTTTCATCCATTTTGAGTTTATCTTTGTGTATGGTGCATGAGAGTGGTCCAGTTTCATTCTTCTGCATGTGGATGTCCAATTTTCCCAGCACCATTTATTGAAGAGACTGTCTTTCTTCCAGTGGATCGTCTTTCCTCCTTTATCGTATATTAGTTGACCATAAAGTTCAGGGTCCACTTCTGGGTTCTCTGTTCTGTTCCATTGATCTATATGTCTGTTTTTGTGCCAGTACCACACTGTCTTGATGAACACAGCTTTGTAGTACAACCTGAAATCTGGCATTGTGATGCCCCCAGATATGGTTTTCTTTTTTTTAAAATTCCCCTGGCTGTTTGGGGTCTTTTCTGATTCCACACAAATCTTAAAATAATTTGTTCTAAGTCTCTGAAGAAAGTCCATGGTATTTTGATAGGGATTGCATTATATGTGTAAATTGCCCTGGGTAACATTGACATTTTCACAATATTAATTCTGCCAATCCATGAGCATGGAATATTTTTCCATCTCTTTGTGTCTTCCTCAATTTCTTTCAGAAGTGTTCTGTAGTTTTTAGGGTATATTTTGAGAACCATTTGAATGGTAAATGGTTCTCCAACCTTTTATTTTCAGGTTGTAGGTGTCCTTCTGTCTAAAATGAGTCTCTTGTAGACAGCAAATAGATGGGTCCTGTTTTTTTATCCAGTCTGAAACTCTGCGCCTTTTGATGGGGTCATTAAGCCCATTCATGTTCAGAGTTACTTGAACTTCTTCTTAAAGGGGAGTTTTAAGAGTCCCCCTTAAAATTTCTTGCAGAGCTGGTTTGGAGGTCACATATTCTTTCAGTTCCTGCCTGTCTTGGAAGCTCTTTATCTCTCCTTCCATTTTGAATGAGAGCCTTGCTGGATAAAGTATTCTTGGTTGCATGTTCTTCTCATTTAGGACCCTGAATATATCCTGCCAGCCCTTTCTGGCCTGCCAGGTCTCTGTGGAGAGGTCTGCTGTTACCCTAATATTCCTCCCCATGAAAGTCAGGGACTTCTTGTCTCTTGCTGCCTTAAGGATCTTCTCTTTATCTTTGGAATTTGCAAGCTTCACTATTAGATGTCGAGGTGTTGAACGGTTTTTATTGATTTTAGGGGGGGATCTCTCTATTTCCTGGATCTGAATGCCTGTTTCCCTTCCCAGATTGGGAAAGTTTTCAGCTAGGATTTGTTCAAATACATATTCTGGCCCTCTGTCCCTTTCGGCGCCCTCGGGAACCCCAATTAAACGTAGGTTTTTCTTCCTCAGAGTGTCGTTCATTTGCCTTAATCTGTCTTCATGGTTCTTTAATTGTTTATCTCTTTTTTCCTCAGTTTCCCTCTTTGCCATTAACTTGTCTTCTATGTCACTCACTCGTTCTTCCACCTCGTTAACCCTCGTCGTTAGGACTTCTAGTTTGGATTGCATCTCATTCAATTGATTTTTAATTTCTGCCTGATTGGATCTAAATTCTGCAGTCATGAAGTCTCGTGAGGCCTTAATGCTTTTTTCTAGAGCCACCAGTAGCTGTATAATGGTGCTTCTGAATTGGCTTTCTGACATTGAAGTGTAATCCAGATTTTGTAACTCTGTGGGAAAGAGGGCTGTTTCTGATTCTTTCTTTTGAGGTGAGGTTTTCCTTCTAGTCATTTTGCTCAGTGCAGAGTGGCCAAAAACAAGTTGTATTGGAACACGGGGGAGTATCACTGGTCCGTCCAGCTGGTCTTCTGGGGGAGGGGCCTGCTGTGCTGGTTTTCAGGTGTTAGCACTTGGGGGAGCTGCTCTGCCCCTGCCTGCTGCCGGGCTCAGCGGGGGTTGTTTACCCCGTGGGACCCAGGGAGGAACAGCAGCAGTTGCTATGGCAACTCTGGAAGCCTGGATTCAGCCTCCGCAGGAACTACGGGGCTCGGGCTCTCGGCTCTCCGTCCGCAGGGCCTGGAGGCTCCGGGGCGGGGCCGCTGATCTGCTCAGCTCGGGCAGGAGCGTCCTTGCTGTCCTGGGCTCTCCCGGCCTCTGCCTGTCCCGGAGGAGGCCGGATCCTGGGCTGTGTCCCGGCGCCCTGTGCTCCGGGGCCTGCGCTGTGGGATTCGCGCTCCCGCCCCGCAGCCCCCTCCGCGGAGCCGCTGCCCGAGCCCCTCCGAACTGCTCCGGTGCGCGCTGCAGCCCTTAGGGAGCTCGGAGCACTCTCCTGCGCTCGCAGGTGTCTGTTAGTGTCCCCGGGAGCCCGAGGGCATCCCCGCCCTCCTGGGTCCTGCTCCAACTCCCTGCGAGCCCCTTTCCGCCCGGGAAGGTTGGTGCAGCTCCTGCTCCTCCGGGACGGGGCTCTCCTGTCCTGGGGACACTCGCCCCGGCCCTAGCCCGGCTCCTCGCGGGGCCCCTCCCCCTCGGAGGCCTTTTGTTTCTTTATTTCTTTTTCCCCGTCTTCCTACCTTGATAGAAGCACGAACTCTTCTCACTGTAGCGTTCCAGCTGGTCTCTCTTTACATCTCAGGCCGAATTCGTAGATTTTCAGGATGGTTTGAAGGTTATCTAGGTAACTTGGTGGGGACAGGTGATTTGGGGACCCTGCTCTTCCGCCATCTTGCCCCTCCCCCCCAGGAAAGCATTTTTAACCTTGGTGTCCATGCTCAGCCAAATTGCCCATCAAGGGGAAAAGCAAAATAAAATAATTTTTAGGCATTCAAGAAATTAACTTTCAGTAAAAATGGTATTTTTTTTAATTCCCTCTTACTCCAAAACCAAAATGATAGTAAAGTAAAAAAGAAGGCAGTAACAAGAATGGCCAAATATCATACTTCTCCCAAATTTTGTTCCTCCATGATTATTCAGTTCCTCCTCTCACTTTTAAAAATGTCTTGGTTCAAATGAAAATTATATGGTCACCCCACTACTAATCTCCATGGGAAAGGAACACCAGTGATTTCAGCAGATTTAGAAGAGGTAGAAAGCAAAGGGGGAAAGTAATAACTGATTTAACAGAATAAAAGTTACAATTTAAGTGTCTGTGGAAGAGAATGCATATAAAGTCCATTTGCCCTTAAAAACCCCTGAGGCTAAGAGCACCTGAGTGGCTCAGTGGTGAGCCTCTGCCTTCAACTCAGGTCATGATCCTGGGGTCCTGGGATTGAGTCCCGTATGGGGCTCCCCACAGGGAGCCTGCTTCTCCCTCTGCCTGTGCCTCTGCCTCTCTTTCTGTGTCTCTCATGAATAAATAAATAAAATCTTAAATAAAAAAAAAATAAACCTTGAGGCTTTATTCTCGGGAAAAAGTGAAGAAGCTCTTGACTCAGAAATAAAGAATTCTAGAATTCAGGGAGGCATAGAACTGAAAAACAGATGCACAGTGACAGGAAGCCTCCTGCCCCTTTCCCCTGCCTTTAGCCCAGAACACTAGCAGCCAGGTGGGCCTCCTTGTTTTGAATATTTTATATAAAAATTATAGGGAAACTTGTTACTTGCTGATCCAAAATAGAGATAGTAGCTGAATGTTGTCATAGGCTCATAATTTCTGCCCTGAGTAGAGCTATGAAAAGATTGGAAACTCTTTTCCTCTTTGTTTCAGTTGTGCAGCCAAAACCACAGAGGCTGCCAGGGTTGGGCAATCCCTCCATTGCCTGCACCATCTTTAAGGAGGCCACAACAGCTCTAGGACCCCCAAGCTTTTCAGACAATTAAAGAATTCTACCTATAGAGCCATGTATTTGGTAAGGAATGAAGAGGGAGAGCAACTCTTTGGCCAGCCTGATTCTTTGTGTCACAACTTCTAACCCATGGAGAGAATCAGAGTATTGTCCAGGCTTTTCCCTAGTCCACAAAAGAAAGAAGAAGAAGAAGAAGAAGAAGAAGAAGAAGAAGAAGAAGAAGAAGAAGAAGAAGAAGAAGAAGAAGAAAAGATTTCCCTAATTTTTACCTCCCTAGAATACCAGTACTAAATTGTTAGTTTGTATTTAGTTATTTATTTACATATCTGCCTCCATCACTAAACTCCAAGATGCATATGGATGAAAAGGGTGTATTATTTGTTGTTTGCACCCTCAAGTGGACTTGCGTGCCTGGCAGCCTATTGGATGAGTCAAGGAGATTACTGGCAAAGAAGTAATTTGCACATGAGAATATCAAGGAATCATGATAAGATCTCTGAAACTCTTCTTTTGAAAAGCATCAAATATTATTCACATTACTCAAAAATATGCACGTGAACTATGTAACACACCTGCAGTAGGGTTTTTAGACGCTCCAACGGTGCTGTGCATGTTCTAGAGCAAGTACCAGCTATGCCTCCAGCCAACAGATACCTCCCTAACAGACCAGAGCTTCTTTCTTCATCAGTTAATTCATGAAAAGTCCATCTTTCTCCCATATCAATTCCCTATTGAAAAAATACATTATAATTAGATCTCAAATGAGTATGTTCTCTCTTTATAAGATCTAAACAATGTTTTATATATCTCAGCTCCACAATAAATTAAGGTCAACCTTTCCTAGAATGTTGTACTTCACCAACCAACCAGTGTATTTTAAGTAAGTTATAAATTAGCTTGAATTACTACCATTATAAGCTAGTAATATTTAAAATAATAATAATAAAATAAATAAACTAGTAATATTTTACCATGTCTAAGATAATCTTTACGTTGCCATTTTTAAGTCTGTTACCATTTTTCAATTCAGAATTATTTGTCTAAGATTGAACACAAAAATAAAAACCCATAGGGTTCTACTAAATATTTGTAGCTGTGATGAGACATAGGCTAATAAACTAGTAGTGAGGTAGCTATTTAATGGGCAATAACATAAAAGTAACCAGTGTTCAAGATCTAGTGGATCCCCATGTTATGTTCAGTCAGACTCTTTAACAAAACAAATATGAAATATAAGCACACATTTGGAAGCAGTTTCCTTTTATATCTTTACCTACTGTGGAATTGGCAAAAAACAAAGCAAAAAAACCCTGGGCCTTCCCATGTAGTGCCCAAAGCAGATAACAAGCTCTGCTGTGCATGTATCATGAAGTAGAAGATTTTTTTAAAGATTTTATTCATTTATTCATGAGAGATACAGAAAGAGAGAGAGAGAGAGAGAGAGAGAGAGAGAGAGAGAGAGGCAGAGACACAGGCAGAGGGAGAAGCAGGCTCCATGCAGGGAGCCTGATGTGGGGACTCGATCCCGGGTCTCCAGGATCATGCCCTGAGCTGAAGGCAGTGCTAAACTGCAGAGCCACCCAGGCATCCCAAAGTAGGAGATTTTTGAGGACCTAGAAGGCTGATCGCAGATGTCATGATTAAGGATCTGGGCTCAGGAATCAGATGGAATTGTCAAATCTTGACATCCCAACCTCCTAATTTCCTAATTGAGTGAACTCTCTGGGACTTAGTTTCCTCAAATGCAAAATAGAGACAATACTAATACTTAACTTCGTAGGATTGTTAAGATTAAATACCTTAAAATATGTATAACACTGAGCACAATGCTTGACACTAAAAGACACTCAGTAACCATTAATTACTGTTAATATTTATTGTAGAACAAAAACTGAGAGCAATTTAGGCCTCCAAGTGCTTGGCTGTGCATAGTCACTAGCAATAATGTGACTAGGAAACAGCTCAATATCTGTTTAATAAACAAAAACTAACATTTACAGAGCAAAGTCAGAAAGGTAATAGCAGTTATATGTGTCATCTTTAGTTTTCATAATAACCAACCTGAGAGAAGTAAGTATTATTTCCCTAATTTGACAGTTAAGATAACTGAGCATGGAGAGATCAAATAATTTACCCCAACTCACCCAGACAGTAAGTGGCATCGCTGGGATTTGAACCAACGAACCCTGAATCTAGAGCCTGTACTCTATTCCACCCAGGAAAACTGGCTGCTTTCTACCACTGTGGAGTAAAATTACAGCGCCAAGCATATTTGTCTCTTGTGAAATTGCTATAAGCCAAATAATAGGCCTGCCTCTGGGACTAATGAAGCACTCTTTGTTAGCACTACCCCAAAAGAGTTGAGTTCAACTTCTATTATTTTATTAGGTTATCACAAATACTGTCATTCAATTTTCAAAAGAGCTATTTATTTCCCATGCCTGTTTGTTCTTTACCTTCATTATGAAACAGAAACTTATCCTATAGTAGGCATACAATAAATGTATTTTTCATTGACTTGAATTGCCTTTAGCATTGAAAGTGAACACTACCAAAAAGGATAAAAATCTTGTCCCTATTTGGACACCCAAGAAGAAAAAACAAGGATAAAATCTTCTCTTAATGATTATATATTTATTAAGAGACTGTTGGTAACTGAAGAGTTTTATATAAGCATCATGGTAAAAGGAAGGAAGGCACACTTACAGCAACAGCAGAATGTCAGTAGCAATGTGCTACTACTGGCCATCGCCCTTTCTCAGAGGAATCTTTTCTAGATATACTGCAGAGCATCATACGAAACTCCTTTTCACTTAGTTCAACTTCTTCAGAAGGCAATTCAAAGCAGGGAGGTTAGATTGAGCTTTTGTATATTTATTTTTGTCATCTTAAGATTGAGGAAGTAGTAGGAGAAAGAATGGAGCAGATTGCTATTTACTATAACTTTCTCTTAAACACATAGACGACTAAAGAAAGTTCAAATGTTAAAAATGAAAGAAAAAATACAGATTTCATAAAGAAACAAGAGAAGTCCTAAGTTTTGAAATACTACTCTGTGTGTTGCTCATGAATAAATAAATAAATAAATAAATAAATAAATAAATCTTAAAAAAAAGAAATACTAGTTCAAAGTCCTTTATTTTTTACCATTAAAAATGATAACAGCTAATGCAGATGGTGCTTAACAAGTGTCAGACACTGTTCTCCGTGCTATATGTGTATTAACTAGTTTAATCCTCACAATAACCTAATGAGTACTATCTTTAGCTTCATTTTACAAACATTGGGAAACTGAATTAGAGCGAAGTCTCTTTGCTTATAAAGGTCGAGCCAGCATCTGAAACCAAAGCAACTAGCTCTAGAGCTCTTGTCCTTGACCATCTATGAGCATTTATTGATGACTTCGGTTTGCCAGGCATTGTGCTAAGTATTTTACATGGATTGTCTCATTAATCCTCACATCCTCATTCTGTGTGGTAGGTAATACTATCATCTTTACTTTATAACTGAAAAATTTTGGCTTAGAAAGTTTAAATGATATCCCCAAACTCACAAAGCTACTAGTAGGGGCACTTAAGAAGCACACCTGGATAACATGATTCTAGAATTCATGATCTTTAACACTATACTCCCCTCTCTACCTACAAGGAGGCTAATTACTTGACTTCTCTCTGTCTTGGTTTCCTTATCCTAACACAGAATAATAATCCCTACCTCAAAGAGTTATAGAGGAACAGTGTAGATTCTAATTTGGAATTACTGAACAAAAACTTTTTAATTTTTTGAGAATTTTAAGAAATTTTGAAGCAGAGATTTCAAGTGCTCTGAGAGACAAGAGCCATGCAGACTATAAGACGAATATGAATGTAAAAAAACCTCGAACTTTAGCACTCTTTCAAAAGAATCCAGTTATAGTTTATTTGTTTATCCAACAAATATTTATTGGGAATATACTGTGTGACACAGCAATCAGCAATTCACAGTCTCTACTTTCAGGCAAGAAAATAAGCAACTATAATACAGAATAATGTTGTTCTGTAGGAGTAATTAACTGTTAAGTGCATAATTATTCCCAACAAATGGGTACCTTTTGCAAGTTGAAACTTTGAAGTAAATATTCTATGACACTTCAGATATTTGGCATTATACAAATTTGCAAGGAAATAATATTCTATATTATCACTTGTTTATTCAAGCAAAACCTCACTAGCTAATACTCTGACTCCATCATTTTCTAATGGTTTATAATGCATTACATTTTTATGCCCATGGCTCATGGTTTAAAATATACAGATATTAAAGAAGAGACCACTTACAGTAATATAGTTCCAGTGATGGGCAATTTCCCTAACATTTCTTGCAGGTTTAAATAAAAAATACTTCCTCCATTCGTCCCAGTCCACTGTCATTGACCCAGCAATATCCATCCTGTAGATTGATTTTTAAAAGAATATGCTCAAATATAAATCATGATTCATAAAGTTCAAAAAGTATTATCAAAATGACATCTCATATTCTCAATGTCAGAATATTCGGGTTATAGTTGAACTCTGTCCCTTGCTCTTCTGTGATGTAGAGTGCATCCTACATCTCCAAACTTCAGTTTCTATGGGAATAAGTCCTACAACATAGGGTTATTAGAGTATTTTTTAAGAATTTATTTTTAAATAATCTCTACACCCTACATGGGGCTCCACCTCACAACCTGGAGATCAAGAGTTGCATGCTCCCCCAATTGAGCCAGACAGGCACCTTTAGAGTATTAAATGGGATTATATATACTATGGCCTTGTAAACTGTAAAAAAAACCCACAAAACTATAAGTCAGTATTCTTGTATCCCAATCTTCTCACATTTCTTCTCACATTTTCCTTCTTTCCATCTGGTAAACCTTACCTTGTAACTTCTCTAGCAACAGAATAATGACTGAACATTACTTTTTTGGTAATTCATCTCTTAAAAGCCAATTTCCACTTTTTGTGGGTATGAAATTCCAATATAAAAAAATAAGTAATCCAAATACCCATAGAAATAAAACATCCATTAATATGGAATAATATAAGCCAATTTTAAGAATTTTAAAGAATTCTCAGTTAGCCAAATTCTCCATTTGGCTTCCAAAACAGAGTATTCTGCTGGTTCTTGTCCTTTTACTCTTCATGGCTCCTTCTCACTCTCTTTTACTGGTTTCTCCTCAATCCCCCACCTCTTAAGGCAGAGTACTATGCTCTCTCCCTGGTCATCTCTTCCAGTCTCATGGCTTTAAAGATCTATAAGCCCATGATTCCCAAATCTCTGTCAGAGTGTTCCTCTGAACTCTAGACTCCTGTTTCAAGCTGCCTATTTGACATGCCTACCTGTATGTCTGCTTAGCATCTAGAAGATAACAAGAACAAACCTGGGCTCTGATAATCACCCCATCCCAAACCTGCTTTTCTCAGTCTTATCCAAATCATGCATAACCACTCCCCTATTCGAGATGTTCAGGCCAAAAATCTTGGCATTAACCTTGACTATTTTTTTTCCTTTTTATCCCATACATTATCCAGAAGTAAATCATGTCAACATTTCAAAATGTATCCAGAATCCAACTTCCTCCATCCTGGTACAAGCTGCCTTCAAATTTTGTCTGTATTATTGCAAAACTGTCATGATTTGCCTACCTGCTTTCCCCCTTGCTGCCTACAAACTATTTTCAATACTTGAGACAGAATGAGACTGCAAAAGCTAAGTTAGATCATGGCACACACCTGTTTAAACCATCCATTGACTTAAGAGTAAAAAGCCAAAGTCCTTATAATTTCCCTCTCAAGAGCTGATGTGATCTGATCTCCTGTTAACATTTCCTACCACCTTCTTCCTCATTCACTCTGTTCTAAACACACCAGCCTTCTCTCAGTGCCCTAATCCTGTAAATACACTGCCCAACTTTGCTCTTGCTCTTTCCTTTACCTGGAAGGCTTCCTCGCCCCCCAAAGATTATCATGGCTCCTTCTCTCACCTTCTTCAGATCTCTATTCAAATGTCACTTTCAAGACCTTCCCAACTCACCATGTCCAAAACTGCAGCCCCCTGCACCACTCGCACACACACATACTATTTCCCTCCCCTGCTCTATATTTCCCCTTCTCACTAATGACCATCTAACATATTGTTTATCTAGTTTACTCTTTTACTGTTTTCTTCTCTTATTTATTGTGAGTTCCATAAGAGCAGGGATTTTTGCCTGTTTCCCTCACGGCTATATCCCTTGAATGTCAACTACTCAATAAATATTTGTTGAGTAAATGAATAAATTTCTCCCTACCCACTTTCATCCTTACCTCCTGTGCTCTAGACCTAGAGGATGAAATGTTAACCCCTACTGAATGATTCTCTGTCTCTGTCTCTCTATTTCTTTCTCAAGCTGTTGGTCTCATTCCCCCCAATCACTTATCTCCTCTCTCTGCAACCTATCTAACAGTTTCCTCTCTGATGGTTACTTCCCCTCAAATCTCTCCTATCCTCAAAAAAAATAATGAAAGTAAAAAGACTTGCCTAGTTGTCTTTCCTTCTTATCCAAATATCCCAAATCAGTAAACCACATTCACATTCCCCATATCCTCACCTCCCATTCACTCCATAACAGCCTGACTCAAGTCTCTAGCTCCCTGCCAAAAATGCTTTCACTGGGATCCCCAGGAATCTCCCAAGTTCTAGATCCAATGGATAGTTTTCAATATTAATGTTGCTGGCCCTTTCTGTTAAATATGACATATTTCACTCTTGGCTCTTGTGACACCATTAAATCAACTAGAAAACATGTATTGATTTGCTAGCACGTACCAAGCACTGTGGTAGGCACTGACTACAGAATAATGGATAACATACCCTGGTCCCTGTTTCACGAAGCTTACAGTCTACTGGCAACAGGGAGTATAACAAACAAGCCTCTGTAAAGCTGCTCTAAAAGCCAGCACTAGGAAGATTAAAAAAATTTCACAGGTTAAAGTCACATCTAAACTGAGATGTGACTCACTTAGAGACTTAGGTCTCTAAACTGAGACCTAAGGAGTAAGTAGGAGATATTCAAGTGAAGGAGTTGGAAAGTGTCTTCCATGCAGAAAGATCAGTTTGTACAAGTTCTGGATGAAAGAAACATCATGGTTTTTTAAAAGTTGAAATAAGCTCAGTCAGCCTGGAGCACAGAGTAGAAGGAGAGTTGGAGAGATGATGCAGCTAGAAAGGCAGACAGGGGCCAGATCACAGAAGAAATTCCATGTTCCATCTAAGCCCTTGGTATAGCATCACTTATCAGTATGGAAACAAATGATCTAATGAAGTGAAAACAATTCTTATTCAGCTTACACTTATAAAACCACAAAACCATAGTTGAACATAAATCCAGCTAAAGTTATACAAAACCATTATAGAAACTGTATAAAACTTTATTAAAAGACATAAAAGAAGATTTAAATAAACATATATAATGTTCATGGAACAGTAAATTTAACATCATAAATATACAATTCTCTCCTTAACTAATTTATAAATTCAATGCAATTCCAATTAACATTCCAAAAGGAGTGTGTATGTGCACACGTGTGTATGTAATTAAATAAGTCAATTCTGAAATTAATATGGAAGAGCAAAGGGCCAAGAAGAGCACTGACACTGTTGAAAATGAGGAAAGTTGACATCAAGATGGATCCTAAAGTGACCTAAATGATCATCCTAAGTGATCCTAAATGACCATCATTAGAAGACTTCATAAGTAAATTGAATTACATTTATTAAACAGGACTCTTATTGTGGCTAAAATGATTAACTAGGGCTGTATGCACCAGCAGCAACAAATCTCAAAAATAGAAGGCTTAGAAAAAAGTAATTAAAAAAAATATGTGGTATGACATCACTTAAGTAAGGTCTTAAAACATGAGAAACAATGCCATATATTTTAAGGGTATCCCTACAGTAAAATAGAGAGAGAAAAATCTGAATGGAATACATTCAGGACGGTAGTTACTTCTGGCAGCAGGGGAGAAAATGAACATTAAGAATACGTTGAAAACTTCACCTCTGTGTAATATTTTATTTATTCAAAAATATTTGAGCCAAATGCAGCAAAATGTTAACTATGACAAATCCAGGGATGGCATGGTTGTCTGTTAAATTTTTACCTCTATCGTTCTATACATTTTCCTGTATGAAATAGTCATAACAAGTTAGCTTTATTCTAGAAATGTTTAATGCCAGAAAATCTACCATATAGATTTATATATATACATAATTTATAATATAAATAGGTCAAATTAAAAAAGCAGTATAGTTTGATAAAATAAGGTACTTTTCATTGATAAGAGATATCTTTTTGTGTTGTTTTCCAGTGCAACTCCCTACTCACTGTTTGCACTCCCCACCCCCATGAACCATTAGCTCTGTCAGGGTAGGCACCAAGAGCATTCTACTTACCATTGAATCCCCATTGGCTGTTTTGTGCCTGGCAAAAAGTACCAAACAATATCCAATTGATGGCTAACTTGATTGATTGACTGACTAATAATGTAAAAGTCTTACCAAAAGCAAGAGATCTATGCACTAAAATGATATCAGTGGGTTAATATTTGGGTGATAGATTATGTTGACATTGGGCAATTTACTTAACCTCACTATTCAAAAACTGCCTAATCTGTGAAATGAAAAACTAATACTTTGACTATAGGGACGCCTGGATGACTCAATGGTTGAGCATCTGCCTTCGGCTCAGGGCGTGATCCCAGGCTCCTGGGATGGAGTCCCACATCTGGCTCCCCACAGGGAGACTGCTTCTCCCTCTGCCTATGTCTCTGCCTCTCTCTGCACCTTTCATGAATAAAATCTTAAATAATAATAATAATAATAATAATATTTTGATTATAAAGTCCTGTAAGGATTAAAGGAGATAATATATGTGAGGTACTCCGAAGAATGCTAGCAAATAGATGCTTAATAATTATAAGCTATTATTCATGCTTCTCTAAAGTTTCCGTAGTTGTCATTTTTATAATGAAAAGGGCTTTAAAGTAAATAAATAATTTTAAAATGTATACTACACACATATAAGGGCTAACCTTTCAAGAATCTTCACTGCCTCTTCTTCAGAAATATGTATATCTATTAAGTCAAGAGCATCAATAATTTCTGAAGCATCAATCACTCCTTTAAAGGAACAAAGAAAATAAAGATTAACTGGAAGTTTTGAAAAGATACAGATGCAAAGAGTTAATCAGTATTCACTGCATTGTTGCAACATTTCATAAGACATTAATATCTCAATTATCTCTTTTGCTTGTCAAGCTAAAAAGAAGAGACTGGAGAGCTCATATGATATTTCCTATATCAATAAATGACACTACTACCCTCAATGTTGCTCAAACCAATTGTTCTTGCCTCTTTACTTTCCTTCATCAATTTCAATCACCAAACGTGATCTGTTCTATGCATGAACAGCTCCCAAAGTATTCATTCCCAACACTACTGATCCCATTTTAGCTTAGACACCAATCCATGCTCCACACAAATATGGTGGTGCTACTCCTCTTACTGAAAACTCTTCAGTGGCCTCCCACCTCATTCCCCTGGGGATCAAGTCCAGAAACCTTCACAGGCCTCAAGGCCTTCCATGATCCTGCTGTAGCCTGCTTCTTAGGCTCATCTCTGAAACTTCCCCTTGCTCTCAGCCTCCGCCTCGCTGGTCTGCCTCCAGTTCCTCAGCCATGACCTGCGCTCCTGGTACAATGAGTCTCCCAGCAAGCCTTTTCCCTGCCTGGAGCACTTCCCTGCTCCTCACTAGGCTACCTTCCAGTCATCTTTCCAGATTTGGCTTAACTACCATTTCTACATGGAGCCTCATGTAAAAACCTTATCAAAATGTTATAAAGATTTTATATTGTTCAAAAGGAAAAAGCATATTGTTCAAAGGGCACAGGCTTTTTGTTGATGGTTGTTATTTTTGAAAGACAGTATGCAAACAAAAATTCAATCATTTAAAAATATTCCTTGGCCAACATGCACATGAGAAAATGCTCTGCATCACTTGCTATCAGGGAAATACAAATCCAAACCACAATGAGATACCACCTCACACCAGTGAGAATGGGGAAAATTAACAAGGCAGGAAACAACAAATGTTGGAGAGGATGTGGAGAAAAGGGAACACTCTTACACTGTTGGTGGGAATGTGAACTGGTGCAGCCACTCTGGAAAACTGTGTGGAGGTTCCTCAAAGAGTTAAAAATAGACCTGCCCTACAATCCAGCAATTGTACTGTTGGGGATTTACCCCAGAGATTCAGATGTAATGAAACGCCAGGACACCTGCATCCCGATGTTTCTAGCAGCAATGTCCACAGTAGCCAAACTGTGGAAGGAGCCTCGGTGTCCAACGAAAGATGAATGGATAAAGAAGATGTGGTTTATGTATACAATGGAATATTACTCAGCCATTAGAAACAACAAATACCCACCATTTGCTTCAACGTGGATGGAACTGGAGGGTATTATGCTGAGTGAAGTAAGTCAATCGGAGAAGGACAAACAGTGTATGTTCTCATTCATTTGGGGAATATGAATAATAGTGAAAGGGAATATAAGGGAAGGGAGAAGAAATGTGTGAGAAATATCAGAAAGGGAGACAGAACATAAAGACTTCTAACTCTGGGAAATGAACTAGGGGTGGTGGAAGGGGAGGAGGGCGGGGGGTGGGGGTGAATGGGTGACGGGCACTGAGGGGGACACTTGACGGGATGAGCACTGGGTGTTATTCTGTATGTTGGTAAATTGAACACCAATAAAAATTAATTTATTAAAAAAAATATTCCTCGGAAGTAGTAACAGTCAAACAAATGACAGGATTAAATAAATGAATTTTTAATAACCTTTCACAGAAGCCAAATATCAAGTAATAAACCTTTACTAAAACACGGCCAATTCTTGGCTATACATGTTTGCTCACTGTATAAAGACAAACCATCATTATTCGTGTCCAAACTCTTAAAAGTCCACCTCATCGTCTTCTCATTATCTTTAAGGTACTGCATAAATGTGCTGAGGTTCAGCAGATTGCAGGCATTAATATCAACAGATTTTAATAGTATCTATAAAAGAGAAGAATGATATTAGAGATATGGGATTCAGACAAGGTAAATTACAAATTATAGTATTTAAACATTTGTACATTTATCTTCTATAAATTAGATATTCTGCTATAAATTATCGGTACCTTAGGTTTAGAATAAAATTGGTGCACTAAAAACAGAATCTTGAGTATTGGAGATTTAGAGGAGTTTAGCAACTGACTAGTCTACTCGTCTACTCAATCATCATGCAAGTATTTGCTCACCCAGTAAATGCTTGAGAAAAAGAAATGAATCATATATAGCCTCTGCCCTCAAGAGGTTTACAGGCTAACAGGGAAGACACCAAAGCCACTCTGATAGAAAATATTCAGGGGCACCTGGGGGGCTCAGTGGTTGAGCATCTGCCTTTAGCTCAAGTCGTGACCCTGGGGTCCTGGGATCAAGTCCTGCATCGGGGTCCCTGTGGGGAGCCTGCTTCTCCCTCTGCCTCTGTGTCTCTGCCTCTCTGTGTCTCTCATGAATAAATAAACAAAATCTTTTTTAAAAATTCAAGATTCAATAGCCGAATTATGGAAGCACCCTAAGTTTCCTTTAATAGATGAACGGATAAAGAAGTGACATACATATATACAATAATATTACTCAGCCATAAAAAAGAAGGAAATCTTGCCCTTTGCAGCAACATGGATGGATCCAGAGAATATAATGCTAAGTGAAATAGATCAGTCAGAGAAAGACAAGTATATGATTTCACTCATATGTGGAATTTAAGAAACCAAACAAACAAAAAAGAGACAAATTTAAAAAAACACACACACTCTTAACTATAGAGAACAGAAGGGAGGTGGGTGGAAAGATGGGTTAAATACATGAAGGGGATTAAGAATACGGTTATCTTGATGAGCACTGAATAATGTAGAGCATTGTCAAAGCACTATATTGCACACCTGAAACTAGTATGACACTGTACATCAAAACAACTAGAACTCTTGTGAAATATGTCTACATACATCATAAAATTCTTTTTAAAAAATATTTTATTTATTCATTTGTGAGAGACACAGAGAGGCAGAGACATAGGCAGAGGGAGAAGCAGGCTCTCCTCGGGGAGCCCAATGCAGGACTGGATCCCAGGACCCCAGGATCATGCCCTGAGCTGAAGGCAGATGCTCAACCACTGAACCACCCAGGGCCCCCATTTTATAAAATTCTCACAATAATAAAGGTTTTATTGAAGAACAGAAATACTAAATACATCATAAACTAAAATATATCAAAAGAAAATGTTCAAGGTTCAGTGAGAAATAAAGATGTGAGGGAACTCTTCATAGAACTGGCTTCACCTGGGACACCTGAGTGGCTCAGTGGTTGGGCATCTGCCTTCAGTTCAGGACGTGACCCTGGAGTCCCAGGATCAAGTCCCACATCGGGCTCCCTGCATGGAGCCTGCTTCTCCCTCTGCCTGTCTCTGCCTCTCCGTGTCTCTCATGAATAAATAAATAAAATCTTTATTAAAAAAAAGTGGCTGCACCTGGCTATTTTTTAAATGAGTAGCAAAAAAGTAAACAAAGATCAAGAGTGTGAGGGATGTAGAAGAGACCACTAGCTGTCCACCAAAATTCGCTCTTGCCTTCTTTGGGCACACTACTAGATTACATTTCTCAGTTTCCCTTGCAGTTAAAAATGGTCATGTGAGCAAGGTCTCAGCAATGAAGTAAGAGTGAAAGTAATGTGTACTGCTCCTAGGCCTAGCTAACAACACCCTGCATGCTCATTCCACTTCCACCAGCTGAGTGCAGGTAATGATGAGCCCGTTGAGGGTGGTAGAGCCACAAGAAGAAAGGAATCCAGATCTCTGAATACAAGGTGGAGAACTGTTCCACCAGCCTCAACACCTACCAAGAGATCATCTTGTATAACATGCTAAAAGGCTTGGAGTTTTCCCACTGACATTGTCCAGCCCCTGAAGAATTTTAAGCAGGGTCATGATAGAATCAGATATACCTTTTAAAAGGTGGCATATGGTGGCAACGTGGAGGAAGAAATGCTGAGGGGGAGGCAAGAAGACTGGTTACAGTAACTTAGGTGAGATATGGTGGGGGCCCGGGCTTCCCAGGAATAACAGGTGTGGAGACGAAGGGAACTGGCTACAAGATCTACAGGGATGACATAGGACCTGTGGTGAACTGCATGTTGGGCAAGGGAAGAGGAGGGCTGTAGAATGACTCGGTGGCGGAGCATTTACCTAAGACTATGATCACAGAGGGAAGTGGAGAGACTCAGAACTGGGGACAGCTACCCATCTGGAAGTCACCCACCCTAAGATGGTACTTGGAACCTTGAAAAGTAATCCTGAAGCCCACCTGCATTTGAGGGGTGAGCCAAAAGAGAGAGTCCATAAAGAGATCTGAAAACAAGAGCCAGAAAGCCAAGATAAAGTCCCAAAAGGGGAAATACAGGAGTATCATTGGTGTCCCATGCCGCAGAAAGAACCCAAGAGCCAAAGTGCACAAAGAAGTCCCTAGTGACCTTTCCCAGAGGGAAAGAATGGAGACAGAAGCTTCACTGCAAACAAGAAAAGGCAGAAGTGTAGACAGAGCTTTATCAAAGACCAGACTACATACAGAGGAAAATGATAGCACAGTTTCTATCTAGGTGGCAAGCCAGGGCCATGGGAGGATCACTGTTATTAGACAGGAAGAGTCCGAAAATACAGGAGAAAGAAAGGGAGCAACAGATGTTGTACTTTTCCTATTTTAAAGGAGGCAGAGAGGATGTGAAGCTGACAATGTAACTGGTAGAACCAACTGTGAGAAGAAAAATAAAAAGACACCTCATTTCTTGAGACTAGTGGCAATAAACTAAGCCTGAATGTAAATAAAGGTAAGATTATAGTCTGAGTATCAAATTTATTGAGGCTTGCTAACTGCTTTGAGCTCAGTAAACAGTTTTAGGCACTTTTCATCTATTTTCTCATTAATCATCATAAGAGCTAGGCACTATTATTATTTTACAGCTGAGGAAAATTTACAAGAGGGCCAGAAATCTGAACAAATTCAGTGCATTTCACCTCTATTTACTCATGGAAGTAAATAAAAGGAATGTTCAGCTACTGGAAGGGGAGCAAGGAATGACAAGGGCTCGGATTGGGGTAAGTCAGAGTTTCTCAGCATCAACATTATTGATATTTAGGACCAGATAATCTTTGGTTGTCCTGTGCATTATAGGATGTTTAGCAACATCCCTGGCCTTCATTCATTAGGTGCTAGTATAACACACACACACACACACACACACACACACACACACACACATATCCATTGCTGTCATAACCATAAAAAGTATCAAGAATGTCAAATGTCCCTGAGAGGCAAAATCAACCTAGTTGAGAATCACTGGGAGAAATGGAATGAAGATAGGGCTGACTCTGGACAGTCTGATGAAATGGAGGACCCAGATCTTTATTAGAAGGAAAATGGAATATTATGATTCCAGGGCTACATTCAGAAGGAAAGCATAAAGTCATCAGTTTGTTTTCTGTGTAATGCAAAGTGAATGCAGCAAAAAGTCTTAGACACACAGAACCCAGTGAAATCAATATACATTGTCTATAACTAAGACTGACATCTGTGTTTGGGTAGTCCTCAGGGAACAAATCATCAATTTCTGTAACAAAATGTGACCCAGCATCATCCAAGATATGTGGTTATCTCTCCCATTTCTCTGGCATGCATTTTATAAATCCAAAGAATTATGGACTTAACAGTAACATATACTGTTGTATTTTCTGGACTCCATGTTGTGTGACCTCACATCCATTTTTCAAGTCAACCCTACCATATGGAAACTTATTAAATACTGTTATTTTTTTCTTACTGAATTTAAGTCTCTTCACAAGAAAAAGATTTCTACAAAACCTGATGTCCCCTTCCCCTTTTCAAACACATGTGCTCATGATGCTGCTGGGCCTCATAGTCTCTTAGAGAAGCTTAAGTTAAAACTTTTTTTTTTTTTTCACTCTAGATGGTCAGCTGGTTAACTGTAGGGCTGTGGAAGTGGGGCGTCTCTGGAAACACAGCAGTCAGTATTGACATCATCATTTGTTAAGCTTAACAATAATTCTATACTATATAGTGTATGGCATATTGTTGTAGTATCAATACTTCAACAGTATTAGGTTAAACTGAAAACATGGGTTGTAACTAATCCGTTAGTAGCAGCCAGGCACACACAGGAAGGCCCCAAAGGGCATAATGCAGGGCTTTCTGGAGCAAACCGCTGTGTGGGCTGCATCACCCAGGCTATGGGAGGCCCTTGCAGGACCAGCCGTCACAGGCCATCAAGGCAGACCCTTGGAGTTCCCCAAAGCTAACGGAATTTCAACACAGGCCATAGGCGTTTAGTCACTGGGGGCGTTTGGTCAACGTGGTGCAAGGAGGCCCTTTAAGAGTTTCGATGGCTTCGACCCCACTTAGGCAAGATGGTGAAGCCTTCAGTTTTGACCAAGGCAGGCCACTATCAGGACAGAAACTAAGGGAAGGTGTCCCGACAGCGGGCTGCTTTAAGTGAAGCAGCTCACACGGAAAGAATTTCTGAGTCTAGAGAGGAGCTCAAGAAGGGCTGAGGGGGTCTTCTCCGTACCCCACCCTCCATCGGCGTTTCAACCCCATCCCCCAGTCCTAAGGGCTCCAGCGGGCCTGCGGCACCTCCCACTGCGGGCGGCCTGAACGCACCAAGGCCCACCTCTTCTTCCTGGCCCACAGGGATGCCCATAGCTTCCAGTTCTTTCTGCAGCTCTGTGATGTCCACCATGCCGTTCCCGTGGTGGTCCAGCTTCCGGAAGAGCTCTTCGAAAAGGCGGTCGGATTTGTTTTCCTGGCCGGCCACTGTGGGTAACAGGAAGCCCCACACTCGGCGCAGCATGGTCCCAGAGCGCGAAGGCCACCCCCAGTCAGCCGGAGCTGCCCCCCTGCCCCCCGCTGGGTACCGGGCGTCGGGAGCCCCGGGAGCAGCCGGGAGCAGCCAGGCCGCCGCCGTGCAGCAACCGACCGGGCCGCATGCGCTCCCTCCCGAGCCTCTGGGTTCCAGGCCCGCAGGCCCACCCTTCCTGCCTGTTGGGCAACAGTCCTGCTCCGGATTTGCTTCTGCCAGTCTTGGTGGGGGGCAAAGCTGCTTGGGAGCACTGTTGTTGTTGTTGTTGTTGTTGTTGTTGTTGTTTTGCTGTTTTGTTGTTCAGATTCATGTTTGGCCACGGATTCCCAGACAGCACATTCTAATGCAAACTCCCAGCTGAGGGTGGCCTCATTATGAGCTATTAGAGGAGGATTTTTGTTGTTTTGTTTTTTGTTGGTTTTTGTTTCTTGTTTTTCAGTTTTGTGCTCAGAGCCAAGGTTGACACAGATCCACCACCATGGGGCCATCCTGAGCCAGTCCTCTCTCTTCCTCTTATTAGGCCAAGATTCCCAGACAGCACATTCTAATGCAAACTCCCAGCTGAGGGTGGCCTCATTATGAGCTATTAGAGGAGGATTTTTGTTGTTTTGTTTTTTGTTGGTTTTTGTTTCTTGTTTTTCAGTTTTGTGCTCAGAGCCAAGGTTGACACAGATCCACCACCATGGGGCCATCCTGAGCCAGTCCTCTCTCTTCCTCTTATTGGTCTCTTATTCCCATAGGGTTGTTGAAATCCAAACCCCTTAGCAACCAAGGGAGAAAATATTAAGACTTCTTTTTATATTTATAAAAGTAAGGGGAGGGGCACCTGGGGGTCTCAATGGTTGAGAATTTGCCTTTAGCTCAAGGCATGATTCTGGGGTCCTGGGATTGAGTACCATATGGTACTCCCTGCAGGGAGCCTGCTTCTCCCTCTGTCTATGTCTCTGCCTGTCTCCCTCTGTGTCTTTCATAAATAAATAAATAAAATTTTAAAAAAGAAAAAGGGGAAAATAAACTTTCTAATATTTAACATAAACTGACAACTGCATGTATATATATATAATGCTTAAGTGTGCACAAATTGTGGGTGAGTGAACAAAGAAATGTGGAACCCATTGCTCTTGTGTAATGGGATTGACCACCTCATCAGTGGGCTAGATGAAAGATTAGTTAAGAAATCCCGGAGTCTAAAAAGAAAAAAAAAGAAAGAAAGAAAGAAAGAAATCCCGGAGCCTGTAACCAGCAGCCACCAAGGATTGCCATCAGAAGCACTGCTCAAGTCAAGAGAACACATCAGCCATGGTGGTTGAGCAATGGAGAACAGCATTGAACACATAAACAAAAGGACCAACTGATGCCAACCAGCATGCTCTACGGATCTAAAAAGGCATTTTGGCTCTTAGCTCAGTGGCACAGAAGTCACAAGTAAACCACATTATAACCTCAGACACCCAGATTCTCTCCTAGGGAGAAAATTAGTGAGCAACCACTTTTTATCCAAAAGAAAGTAAATGCTATCTAAAGGAGCTGATAATCAGGGGTTACTGGTGGCTTAGTAGATGAAGCATCTGCCTTCAGTTCAGGTCATGATCCCAGAGTCCTGAGATTGAGCCCTGCACTAGGCTCCCTGCTCAGTGGAGAGCCTTCTTCTCCCTCTCCCTCTGCCGCACCTGTTGCTCATGCACTCTCTCACACTCTCATTCTCTCCCAAATAAATAAATAAAATCTTTTAATAAATAAATAAATAAATAAATAAATAAATAAATAAAGGGGCTAATCAATTATCAGACTGTCTAAGCATTGAAACAAATTAGATATTTGGTTAACTTAAAAAATTTTTTTAAAGATTTATTTATTTACTTATGATAGACATAGAGAGAGAGAGAGAGAGAGAGAGAGAGAGAGAGAGAGAGAGAGGCAGAGACACAGGAGGAGGGAGAAGAAGGCTCCATGCCGGGAGCCCGATGTGGACTCGATCCCGAGACTCCAGGATTGCTCCCCCAGGCCAAAGGCAGGGGCCAAACCACTGAGCCACCCAGAGATCCCCCAATTTTTTTTTTTAATGCAGCAGGTGGGACTCAGGAAAAAGATCAGAAACACCAGGTTAGGCAAGTAAAATACATTTTATGCACATATCTGATTTTTAGTATGAGCAGAAATTTAGGAGCCTTTGTCCCATTAGTATTATTCTGGACCCCTGTTTTTAAATTACCTCTGTGTGAACTGATACAGCTGATTGTTTCCTTATGATCTCTACTGATGTTGAGGCAACAAAACAAGGTGAAAGTCAAAACCTAAGGATAGCAGGGGGGCGCCTAGGTAGCTCAGTCAGTTGAGTGTCCACCTCTTGATTTTGGCTCAGGTCATGAACTAAGGTCATAATCTCAGGGTTGTGAGATCCAACCCTACGTTGGGCTCCCCACTCAGTGGGGAGTCAGCTTGAGATGTTCACTCTCCCTCTTCCTCTGCCCCTTCTCCTTGAGTGCTCTCTCTCTCTCAAATAAATAAGTAAATCTTTAAAAAAAATTTTTTTTAAGATTAAAAAAAAAAAAAAACTAAGGATGGCAGAGCAGAAATATGGAAAGGGGCCAAGCTCTTGATCACATTGCTGAGCCAGTGAACCAACTCTGGAACCAGTTTCCACTGGACCTGTTTGGACAGAAAACAAACGAACCTCTGTTATTTAAGCCACTTTCTCCTGGGCATTCCATCACAGCTGAAAGCATATTTATAGAAAATCATTACTCATGGAATAATTACAAACTGAGATGAATGTAATGAAGGAAAATTGCACTCATCTCAGTTTGGAATTATTCTATGAGAACATAGCAGGGACCATAATATATGTTGGGGGATGAAGGAAGGCCTCTTAGTTTAGGTAATACTTAAGCCAAGATCTGAAAGATACGTAGAGGTTTGCCCATTAAAAGTGAGGAAAATAGCATTCCTTGTATTTTTAACATTCCTGAGAAGAAAAGAATTTAGAAAGTTCAAAAAAGTAAAAGAAGGCCACTGTCGCTAGAGAATAATAAACAACAGAAAGAATGGCACACGCTGAGATTAAAAACACAGGCCACATCAAAGATCCCGGCTTTTATCTCAAGAGCAGTATAGAGTTATATCAGCCGGGATAATCCAGGTTATGCTGTGACAACAAACAACTCCAGAATCTCAGTTACCTACAGAGTGAATGTCTCATTTGTCTGTACACCATCATAGGTCAGCAACAGGCTCTGCTCTTGGGATGCCTCATCCTTACTCTGGGATGAAGCAGCCACTGGCTGGAGCATCATCGGTAGCCATGGCAAAGGGACAAAAAGAGTATAGAAAAGCAGGCTATGAATCTTAAAGCCTCTGCCTGTAGGTGCAATATTCAATTTCTCTGTGTATTCTACTGGCCAAAACAGGTGACACACTCTCTTGATTTCAAGTCTCCTGCAGGGAAGAATGCTGAATATTGTTGAGAAATATTACAGCCCACACCAGGAGCCATTTACGCATTTTTGGCAGCAGAATAACATGGTTTAGTTTAACAGTGTCAGGACGCTTAAGTGGCTCAGCAGTTAAGCATTTGCCTTTGGCTCAGGGTGTGGTCCTGGAGTCCCTGAATCGAGTCCCACATGGGGCTCCCTGCATGGGGCCTGCTTCTCCCTCTGCCTGTGTCTTTGCCTCTCTCTGTGTGTCTCTCATGAATAAATAAATAAAATCTTTTTTTAAAAAAAGTTTTAAATAAAAAAAATTAACAGTGTAAATATCCTGCTAGATACTGTATGGAGAATGGGGGGAAAGTCAGGAGCCAGGGCAGTGAGATCAATTAGGAGTGGTCAGCTTGAACTAGAGTGGTAGCAGTGGAGGGCAAGAGAAGCAGGACAGATCATGATATATTTTAGAGGTAAAATTGAAAGAAGTTTATGAAGGATTGAAGGCAATGACGGAGAAAATGGTGCCTGCTATAGACTGAATGCTTATGTCCTTCCAAAATCAATATGTTGAAACTCAGTGATTGAGCATTTGCTTTCAGCTCAGGTTGTGATCCCGGGGTCCTGGGATCGAGCTGCATTGGGCTCCCTGTGAGGAGCCTGCTTCTTTCTCTGCCTTTGTCTCTGCCTCTCTCTCTCTCTGTGTCTCTCATGAATGAATAAATACAATCTTTAGAAAAATGTATGTTGAAATCCTAACCCCTAATGTGATGGTATTAGGAGGTGGGGCTTTGGGGAGGCAGTTGGGGTCATGAAGGGAATGCCTCCTGAATGGGACTAAGTGCCCTGATAAAAGACACCCCAAAGAGACCCTTGCCCATTCCACCATGTAAGGACACAGGAAGTAGGCATCTACAAACCAAGAAGTAGGCCCCACTGGACTCCAAATCTGCTGATGCCTTGATCTTGGACTTATAGCCTTCAGAACTGAGAGAAATAAATTTCTGTGGTTTATAAGTCACCTAGTCTATGGTACTCCGTTACAGCAGCATGAAGGGACTAAGACAGTATCAAAAACAACTTGTAGGTTTCTGGCATGAGGCATCATGTAGATGGAGTTGTTGATCTCAAGGCGCAGGAGATTGACTGGGATTAAGATCAAGAGTTCAAATTTAGACTTGTCAAGATGACGGTGAGTCATGCCAAGTGGCAAAATGGCATGCACAGCTCAGGAAAGAGGTCCAAGCTAGAAATATAAATTTGGAAGTCACTGGCATACGGATAACTTTTAACCCCGTAGGAGAGAAGAATATCACTTAGAAGGTAGAGTGTAGGAAGAGAGCCCTAGACTAAGCTCTGGAAAACTCTAAAATGTACATTTCAAGTGCAGGCAACAGAGCCAGGATGGCATAGTGATAAAGAGCTCATGCTCAAATTCAAACTGCCTACAACTGAAAAATCCTGGGCACATGACATAATTTCCCTGAACCTCAGTTTCCTCATCAATATGAGTTATGTCTCAACATTCTGTCTGTTGTGAGGATTAAGTAGAAAAAATACTTAACATGAGGC